GCTTCCCTGTTCCGAGTAACTAAATCTCACTACAGGTCGACTCTGCCTTCGGGCACGTCGTGGAGGTTCAACCTCCACTATTACCCTCCAGCAGAGCGCGCACCCCACCTGGATACGTCACCAGGCAGCACGGTCGTCAATTGCTCCTGGCCAGTCGCTCGGGCGAGCCCGTCGCAGGGGAACATTACCAAGCGACCCCGGGGGAAAACCCCCATGGGTTACTAGCACCACGCCGCGCTAGGACGTGCCAGACCGAGGCCGGGCCAATAAGGGACCTTTCCAGAGCCTTCAGAACCACCAAGTTCATTAATTTTATCCCCCGTGGCCGAGACTGCTAGGTACAGATCCTAGCCAGTAGCATCGCAGAGTTCTCTACGTCGACCCCGGGGGGGTCATTGGCTCACTATAAATGTCCGTTTCACTTTGAAACGGTTGCCACCAAATGTTAGAGACCTGCATTATATTTGAAGAAATTAAATAATGAAAAATCGGCATAAATGCATGTATAATTCTCGCACTGTGATAAAACAACGGTACATAGAGCCATCGAATTTTGAATGACGTAATCCTCCTACGAATATGGACATGTGGAAGCCCACATTTGAAATTTGTTTTATTATGAATTTCATATTTTGTAAAACTTTATAACGAATTTTTGATTAACAAACTCAAGGATTTCAAAGCGAGTAATGGCAACGTTGTACAGAAAAAAACATTTGTATCTCCAACGCGCGAGACTTTGTATCGGAAATTCTAAAGATATACTCAATTTAAAACTATTTTGTGATATGCTCTTGAACTGAATTTTATGGTTTAAGCGCGAAGAACGTCATATTTAATAAATAAAGGTAACAGACAAAAATTTAAAAAAAAAAAAAAAAAAAAAAAAAAAAAAAAAAAAACGCCTTTTTGGCCGTAATTTAAAATCTGAAACCGTCAGACTTTTATTTATTCCCCCTCTCATTTACACGTTTCCAGAGCATTTGGCCTAACGCCACATTGGACTAAAAATATTTTTAAAAACAGCATAAAAGCTGCAAGACAGAGAAGAACCTCTCATAATCCATGAAATCCTCTCATAATGAGGATAGTAACTTTACTTACATATTAATTGTTCCTATGCATTCGATATTAATTTTCCGTTGTTCTAAATGTATTCTTAATAAATGTTCTCGTATATTTAAATAAATAGGTTTTTAGTTCTATATGCAGTAAGTAGTATGCAACCTAACTCAAATGCAAATTAGTCAGCTGCCAATCATTATTTAGGGTCTTCCCATAAGCGAACCGGACTTTCAATCCCAAACGAAACGGAATGCTTCAAACACATTGGAAGAAACCCACCACTGGAAGGCGAGGCCGCAAGAATACTTCTAATGACAAAATAACTAAATACATGCACTCAAACAATCTAAAAGTTTGATATCCGTGTTACATCTGAATTTCCTAATATATGAACAATAAAGTTAAATTGAAATTTGCATGAAGAAAGAATTAAAGAACACCTTCTCATTGTTGGAGAAGTTAAACAAGAATCAACGTTGTTTGTAAATTTTACAGGACTAGTTTCGACGGTTTAAATACAGAACCATATTCTTCAGCTGCCTAAGTGCAAGTGAAAGAGATAAACTTTGGTGATAAGAATGACTAGTCAAGCTACTGGGGCCATCTATTGATGAAACGAGAAAATTAAAATATAATTTCCCTAAAGGCTAAGGGGTAAAGATGGATTGGAATTAGAGTCGCTAACTAGAACAGTAATTCTTTTTAATGTGAAAAGCCTCTAGAAAATCTAATTCACCAATGCAGAATGCTTTTTAAATAATTTTGGCTGCAGAAAAACGGAAAGTGGGGTTTTCTGACAAACAGAGCTGAGCAAAGCTGGATTTCTGTGCTTCCTTTTCCCTAACATATACCTCATATTCTTTAAGCGAAATTTTAAGATTGTCTTAGTTTGACCAAGTTTAGCTATGAAATTGCACGTATTTTACAGAAATTTAACTTTCGAGTTTTTTTTTTCTATCAATAAAATTCTCAGTTCCATAGTTACGGACTCCATTCCGAATATAAATTCCTGGGTTATTTACATGATTCTTTGCCATTGGAATTTAATTTGCATTAGTCACACTAAGAGAGCCTTAAAATTTCGCGTTAAAGAACATAGCATATGGTTAGGAAACAGAAATCCCCTGTTGCCCAGCACTGTTTGGACAGAAGATCACATTTTCCTTTCCTCTGCAACCAAAATTATTCAAAAAGATCTTCCATTGTTGAATTAGATTTTCTAGAGGTGTTTCATATAAAAAAAAAATCTTTCTGTTCTAGTTAACGACCCTAATTCTAATGCATCTTTAACCCCAGTCTTTAAGTAAATTATGTTTTACTTTTCTTGTTTCATCAATAGAAGATGCCAGTAACTTGACTTCTTTCTAGTCATTCTAATTACCATATTCTAGCCCGTTCATTTGCACTTAGGCAGCTGAAGTAGGTGGCTCTGCATTTAAACCATAAAAACTAGTCCTGCAAAAATAAAATTCTAAATTCTAAAATGAACTAATTTCAGCGGAATATATGCTATCGACTCCACTGTAACTTGTATTAAACCACGTGACCACATTTTTCCTCTTCTTCTCTTGCGGAATGTATCTCATTTGTTGATAATGTGTTTCTTTTGCGAGAAAATTATATAAAAAGAAACTTTTGCAGTGTTTTCATATAAGCGCCTAGATTTTCTATACAGAAGTTTTCTCGACAATTTTACCCACTTCCGTAAAGGACTATTTGAGTACTAAAAAACTGCTTCGAAATTTTACAAAGCCTCAGGATTGAGTTTCATTCCTCGATTCCAAGGTTCTTTAATATACTAAGGTTAGGCCAGGAACGGAAAAAGCGTGCCATTGGTTGCTGGTAGTGACGTCACCCGGGAGACAAGACGCATCGGCCGACGCGTCTGCTACATGATTTTGGTAATGGAAAAAATGTAAACTAAAGCAAAATGATCATTTTATATGTGGTAGATATACCGGAAATACCGGGTATATACTTTCCGATTAAGTATTTTGTTAAAAAAAATGTTTATTTTATGCACAGAATTCGTACGAATGCTGAAAATAATTGTAAACATTAAATTCTTTTCGTAAAGGAAAGCATTAGAAAATGAAAAAACGATATTTAAGTTAATTAAGGGAAATAAATATTGTAAAACAAGGTATTTTTCAATATTTTTTCGTAGTATTGTTTGCACTAAATAAATCTTGTTGAACAGAACACATGATGGCATAACTGCTAAGACCATGGTAAAAACATAATCAAAAAGTATTATTCTATTTATTTTCATTGCTCATGCACTTTTTTCCATGAGAAATATATGATCGTGATTTTCAGTTTAAATTACATATCTCAAGCAAAGCAAAATATATATAAAAAGATTTGACTTAACAAATTCATATTTAAATACCATAAAATTCTACAAATTTCTTAATATCCGTCATTATACTTTTAAATAGTATACTTATCACATTCTTTTTAAAGTGAAAAGTCACTTCATACTGATTCACTTCAGATTTTAGCAGAAGTGCGTATATTTTCAGTATAATCTAAAAGTACTCTTATAATCCCTTACACTCCCAAGATTTCTATATAACATTTATCCTGACGTGATTATTTGCTATAGTAAATAATCTTCGATATTGGCATCCTATTCTTCCTTTCCATACATTAAAAATGGAACAATTAAAATACATTTTCTTACACATATACGCACAATAATAATAATAATAAACTTGCCCTTACATCTTAGTTTCGGCCCACCAGCGGCCGAGCGGTAAAGAGTCGCTGAACACTGAGTAGTTCGGTTCCGAATCCCGCGAACGGGCTGGCTGCATGGGTGTTTTCGTGGTTTTCCTCATGCGTAACGTGTATACGAGCCAGTTTCCCTGAGAAAGTCCTCCACGAAGGCATCACACCTATTACGCAGATAGCCCTAGTGTGCTTTGCCATAATTAAATACACCACCACATCTTAATTTCAATTCAGTCTGTACACAAATTAAATATTTTTAATTACTAATGTATTTTTATTAGCTTGTTTCTTAAAATACTTTTGTTATACTCGAAATATGTGTTCAATATTGAATTATTTTTCTTTCTCTTATAATTAAAAACAAGTTATATGGAATCAAAATTAAAACATATGCAGCAGTTAAATAACACTGAACAGAATATCTTACTTTCTCTTTCGCTATTTGTATTCTAGCATTATACACAGATTTGTTTTCCTTCAGGTTCAAGCATGTGTAAGTTATATCAATTAAATTACATCACACATACCTGTATGCATCAGTTAAATAACACTGAAGGAAATATGTCACTCACTCATTCGATGTTTGCATCATAGTGTGGTCGAGAAATTGTTCTTTCCTCACGGTGAGGCATGTATTAGTTTACTTAGTTCGCAAAGCTTAACCCAGACGCTGCTTCAATACATAGAGTTACGTTTGGGATGTAAAGAAAGTAACCAAAACATGTGAATGAAGTTGGATACGCAAATTTATTAACTAATCATTCAGGTACTCAGTATTGGTAAACATGACACTGAGTTTAAATATCTCACTACGATGTAAGTCTCATACACAAAATGAAGATTATGATAAAAAATGATTTAAAATGAGAAATTTTTCAATTTAAATGTAAAATAGCAGTAAAATGAAAAATAAATGTAAAATTACATCACAGTTATGTATGAAAACTACATAAATTCATTAAAAAAATAGTTATTTTATCTGATTGTAAAAGTGTTTTCCGCCAAAAAAAGTATTAACGTGTATAATTCTGACACAACGCTATAGCACAATTTGCCACTTCCGCTTAGGTATAATAGCAAATTAACAACACAAATCAAATCAAACTGTTGATGCAACGAAAGTAAACAAACGCCAAGAACTAACTCTGTCACCCACATGACGTCATGCATATGTGGCATAACTTTCTCCCTGCACTGCGCATCGCTCTTGGGCCCCCCCTGCCTCGATTCGATGAATAACTGGTATCGAACGTTTGTTTACAAACTAACATGTGCCTTTCGGCAAGAAGTGTAGTATTCGTGCTATACACTTTTAAACACTTAATTAAGTTGCGTAATTAAGAAATTAAGTTGCGCACCATATAAAAACTTTTAATGCAGTGCAATACAAATATTTGCGTATTTCTATGTGATTTTTAATATCAAGACTTAGGCAAATCACATATCACAGTTCCAAAACATGTGATTTTAGTAAGTATTTCTTTTTCTGGAATTATTAATGTAAAGTATTGTGAATGTCAGCTTGCGTTTGAATGACATACTTAATTTTTAAGTGATTTTTAAATTCATATTGGTAAAAAACTGCCCCCCCTCGAAAAAAAGAGTCAGATTCTGTTTAGTATGGTTACATCTTTTTCCAGCACTTTTTTTCTTACTGCTTTAAATAATGATTGGTCATCTGAATTGTTATTTATGGTTTAAATATTTCTGCTTTATTAATTTCTAGCATTCATTAAAAATAGAGTCATACTTTATTATCGAATATTAAGAAAGGTTAGAAATGTTATTAGATGTTTGTTGGTGCCTTAGTTTGCGAGCATAATTCGTTCCTGAAACGTGTTCGTAATTCAAATCAGTTGCATGGCACAGCGGATTCCTTTGTAAGTTTGCGAGCATAATTCGTTCCTGAAACGTGTTCGTAATTCAAATCAGTTGCATGGCACAGCGGATTCCTTTGTAAGAAATAATGGAACTTATATGATTCGTCTTACAAGCTGAAAATATTCATATAAAAATTATTACAGAACATGCATTAGGATACACAAACATTACTTTAAATTTTACATGCAACATTATTCGTGCCTAACTAAAATAATTGCTGTCTACTGAGTCGATGGAGTCTTTCTGAGTCTGCGACTTGCCAATAACAGCAATTACCCAATGACGATTTTGCGATCTTTATAGAATTTGGGGGAAATGTGATACATCGTCTTTATAAGCGAATTCATTTGTTTGCACTGCTATAGCCTTATTCAGGTGCTACTTTTCAACAAAACTTTCACATTTTATGCATCTCCTTAATCTCATTTAAATCAAGGGATTTCTTTATCTTTTTTTTCTATCCTTCTCAAACAAAACAAAAAACAAACAAAACTGCCCTTATAACCTTTTGCTGTTTTTTGGGATACAAATCAATTTCACTGGCAATTAGGTCTTCACATTTTGCTTTACCAGCTGATGGATGTCATTTCCATTCACTTTTACTCTTATGGTCTTTCCTAAGAACAGAATTTCATAAATAACTGATTTCTCCTAGTTGTAAGTAAATATCTCAAAACCATATTGAAGAAATCAAATAAATCGTTGTTTTCTTTAACTTGCTAGCATCTCTGTTGGAGTACTGCTATATATTCTATTTCCATAAAACAGTATTCTGGTGTAAAAGTACCAGCATCTTTATGGAGATAGCTTTTTACAAGGAGCTGTATATCTAAAAATCTTAATTTGCAGTAAAATTATGCACTATTATCAACTTTATTTAATGACTTTGTGCAGTTTGTTTTTTACACTACCCATTGTGTTTCTTTATCGAAAACTTGTAAGCAACATTTAAGTCAAAATTTGTGTATAAGAAAAGGCATTAACTTGTAAATTATCTAAATATTATTTTTTATCAGTTATTTATAAAAAGGAAGATATTTGATTTTAATTTATAACATATTATTTTAATTTACGTAAATTTTATTTTTATAGATTGATTTATAAGTTTTTGCGATGTTTTTTAAAGTGAGCTTCAAAAGATAAGATGTTCTTTGTTGAAGATATGATGTTCATAATCTTTTTATTATTGAAACTAATACTAAGTAACATTAAATTTTATATGCATCTATTGCAAAAGTTCTGAGATTTTCTATTTCATAAAAAATTTGATACTATTGATTTTTAAAATGAGTAGAATACTGATGTAATAGTGAACATTCTAGATTTCAACAACTTGAAGATTTTAAACCTTTCAAAGCAAAGTTAAATGCATTGTAGTATCAAATGTCCCTACGTATATCATATTTTAAATAAACTGAAAGGTTTTTTTAGTTTTTATCTAGCTGTTTTACAGAATATCCATTAGTGATATATTTATGTTATTTGAATGAATGAAGAATTAAAAAAAATATTAGCCATTTGTTATAAAATTATGTTATTAATATTATTCGAACTTTTTAAAATTGTAATGAGAATTATGAATATGTATTTGTTTTATTAAAACTTAGTATATTATCTATATGAGAATTTTAATATGAAGTATATAATATATTCATAATGTATTTCTTTTTTCAGAATTTTCTTTTTAAGAAATCTGTTGAGCATAAGTGGGATTAGAGCTTCCTATTATTAAGTTTCACTTCCTATCAATATTACAATTGCGTGAAACTCTTCACAAACAATTTTTTAAGAAATGGCAGCTGTGAATGAACTCCAGAAGCGGAGCTTTGATAGTGAAAATACTGAAAGTAAAGAAACGAAAAGATTTTGTGGTGAAAAGTGTACTGAAATAGAAGTTGAAGCAATTAATAATACTGCAAAAAATCAAGATAGCAGTACTAAAGCTACTGAAGAAGATGTGGGTATAACTGAATATGTCAGTAAGCTATCTGGCTTTTATGCGGTTATGAAAGAAAGGTAAGAATATATTGTAATTTGGTCTGAAAATATTTTGTATAATAGGTATTATTTTCTAATTTATCAGGTTTATTTTGTGTAGAAATTTTGCTAATAAATTTTTAAGTAATGCTGGCCGTACCAGTAACTGAGCAATCAAGACTAATGGATATTGTTAGTTTGACCTGGTTTGTGTTTAAACTCAGATGAATGGCCTGGCTGCATGGTTAGTTTGGGTGTTTTTTCCAATGTGTACTGAGAATATGAGTCAGAATATATCTTAGGCAGATAGCCCTCCTGGCTTTGCCATATTCAAATAACAAAACAAAATGTGTGTTGAATATCTATTTCAAAATAATATTTTACTAGATTATTTATATTCAGTTATGAAGAAATAGTGGTCATTTTGAATCCATATTTGCATGCTGTAAGTATTATACCATCGGTCATGAAAGTTGGCAGAGATGTCTTCATAATTACGTCAATCATTCCTGCGGACTGACACCTGTTTATTTAATAAACAATCAATAACCAACCCACTTTCATTTTGCACTGTATAAAACAGCTTTTGTTGATTTCTACTGTATTGTTAGGCCGTCCAGTTTTGCTGGAAGCTTTGCTTAGAACATTATGGGTACTAACCTCCTGTTGCTAATTGTTCCAATCTGTTACTGTTTTGTTGGCCATATTATGCTGACCATATTGCATTCATTAATATGTACTATATGAAATAAAATACTTTTTTTTCTATTTTTAAAAAAATATCGTTAAATTTAATAGTAGGATTAATTTAATCATAAATAATCCTTCCTTTATATGAGTACTTTTCTGTTAAAGAGACACCATGCCAACTGGTATCATTTTAAATGCCATATTATTAGAATTGAACTGATGTTGAATAATGTGTATTAGAAAATTTGATAATTAAATTATTTTATTATATAAGGTTGTTCTGTATAAGTTCAAAAGCATTAAAAGAAAACCTAAAATACCTTCAAGACAACTTTGACAGTCTATAAGATCTTGAAGTGCAATTTTGACACAATGATGAACTATTATTTTATGTATTATGTAAGATGAATTATTATAGGATAGATAAATAAGTGCAATTTCAACTCTTATTTATCTGAACCTTCATATCCTTTAATAGTTCACCTAAAGTGCTTTTTCCTCTGATTTTTTCAGCATGCAGATTAATATTGTATATTATACATTGAAGGAACTAAAGGTGATGCTTTTCTCTTCTTAATCTGATGATGAGCATAGCTATTTAGAAAATTCCAAATCTGGCTATCAAATTTGATTCAAGTAGTGAAAATGTGAACAAAGGGTCTTAAAACAAGTATAGAGTATAGGTAATCAATGTGTCCAAATATTGTAGAATCTCTATTAACCCAACTTTTATCAAGTGAGGCCTCTGTTAAATGAGTTGGCAGTCAGTTTGAAAAAGGTATTGGGAAAATATAATAACAATACAATGAAAATAACTAGTCACAAATTTTGTCAAAGATTGATCTTTTGGTCTTTCTAAGTAACAAAGCTCATTTAATGGCCTTGCTATGTAAATTCAGGTAAAAATTGTGGTTTACATGCATAAAAAATGAGAACCCTTCCAAATGATAATTAATTTATAGATATGCTTGCAAGGCTAAAAGAATGATGTTTTGGAATGGGTAAATGTAGAAAATTGTAAATTAAATTTTCAAATTTTTGAGTGCAAACAAATCATTTATGCCATAGATTCAGAGAACAGTAAAAACTTTAGCGATTTTTAAACTATTTAGTGACTCTGAGGTTGACAGTGAAACAAAAAATGAAAGTATTTTTCATACAGAAATGGTTTTGGTTTATTTTGATTGTGGTAAAGTATTTTCTTTGTAATAAAATATTTGATATTTTTTAGGTATTCCGATTTTTTAGTGAACGAGATTGACATTCAGGGCAATATTGTTAGACTTACAAATATGGATAAACCTGTTATTTCAGAAAATACTTGCCAAGTAAAGGAGATTCTGGATGAAGATACAGTGAAAAAATTGCAAGATCTTGTTAACACAGATGAATGTCATGAAGTTATAATAGAGGTAATAATTCTCATTGTGTGGAAGAACAGTTTTTGACAATGTTACAGACGAATGCCATTGTAACAAATTTCAAGGGATTGGAAGTTTAGTTTCCTGTAAATGGTGGTTTGCTATACCTAGTTTGATAAGGAAAATATATTATCCCTTTCCATGTAGTGCTTAATGGTAGAGCATATAATAAATAAATAAATAAAAATTGATAATAATGCAATATATTTGTGCAGGTTTGTTTCTTGATAATGTACTACTTATGCATGATTAAATGCATTTTTTAATAAACCGATTATACATTTAATATGCTCTGCTTGTACGATTAATTTGATTAATATGGAAGAGGAAATATTAATGCATGTATACATTTTGTAATGAAATATAACTGCAGTTAAAAAAATTATGAATAGCATGTTAAAAAGCCACTAAATTCCTATGTTTTTTTTTTTCTTTTAAGTTATTTAAGAATGTAGGTCTAATAAGAATATAATTCTATTAGTCAGATAAAATATTTTTCACCAGCTTTTTTACTTTAAAACTTACTTGAATATTTGTAATAATGTTTTCCTGTGTAAAAGGTTACAAATAAAGAAAAGAATGTTAGAAAAGAAATCCATGTTGCAATAAGGCAGAACTTTCAAGGGCTCGAATCTAGTACTGAAGAAAGAGAAGAAAGGAAAGTCATAGTGGTTAAGAAACTTGATTCCAAAGCTAAAGGTTTGTTTATGATTCCATATTATTGTATGAATATTTAAATATGTTCTGTCGAAGCTATTAATTTTTTGCTGTGATTCTAATGAATTGGCTTAAGAACTATTTCTGCTTAAAGTGTAATATATTTAAGCCATTTTTTAGTTTTAATTATTTATATGTAACAAAGTAAGTTTTGGTGTTTGTTACTTAAGGCAGTACCACTTAAAGCTTTTTATAATCTAAAAATTCATACATATATAATTATTTTAAGGTTATGTTTTGTGATGTTGTTCTTAACCTAAAAATTAACCGATTTGCTTTGTGAATAGTTGGGAATTCTTAAGTAAATATTAATTAATCATCTTATCTAATTTTTTAAACTACATTGTTATTAAAACATTTTTAATGTTATAAAAGATATTGCATTTTCTTATTTCTTTCTTCAGGTAAAAGATTTAAGCCATCTACTTTAGGAAATTATATTCACTTTGTATTGTACAAAGAAAATAAAGATACAATGGATACAATAAATACAATTTCTTCCTTTCTAAGGTGAGTTTATACTTAAAAGTGAAATTATCTTCAAGGGTTTAATAATAACAACATTGAAGTTTACTGTGGAGCTTTATTTTGAATATTATTTGTATGGGTACTGTGGGAAATCTCACAAAAACATAGTTTTTAATTTCTTATTTTGTCACATTGAGATAATTTTGGAAAATTTTTTTCCTGCTGTTTATCTAGATAACACTAGAATTAACTAACTAAAATATTTTTTGATGCAAGAAATGCCATTTTAAAAAACATTATGTAGGGTTTGGTTTTTTGTTTTCATTTATATTTGTTGCATAAAGAGTGTTTTCAGGCATTTTTTTCCTAGAAAAGTAGGATAAATTATGCTGGCATAAATATGAGAAATTTGACATGCAAGAGAACCCAGCATTTTTGAAGTTTTTTTTTAAATTAAAAAAGGGTTTGCATAAAGGACAGCTTCACTGAGCTTAATATGTGGCAGGATGAGTGGAAGAACTGCCATGATCCAGTTATTAGAGTTTTTATTTCTTGGTATATATTAGCTTATAATTTAAATTATTTTCTTTTCTTTAATGATGTAAATATCATCTTAATGAACAGAAGTTTTTGAAAACACAGATTAAAACAAGTAATTGTAAAAATTTAGCTAATAGAAACAGTTTAAATATAATTCTTGATGAGCAGATCCAAAAAGCTATGCCATTTGGAGGATTAAATGAATTACATGCCATACATTGAACTAAAAAAAAAAAAAAAAAAAAAAAAAAAAACTCCTCAGTCAGCTGCTTTCTATAAAATGAAATTATTATTATAATTTGCAAAATTAAGTCTAAAGTTTGGATAACAAATGAAATCTTCATTGACTTGTTGAAATGAATTCATCAAAGAGTGGGCTTGAAAGCAAAAATTTCTTCTTTCCATCATTACCTACAAATACTCTACTTTTCTTACTCTAAAAAATATATTAAAGTATTTTTACTCCTAGCACTACATCTATCTGTAGTCCTTTGAATAAAGGATTATTCAAAGTGTAAGTGTGGGATATAAATGAGAAATTTTGAAAAGTTGCTTGTAAAGGCCTTTTCATCTTCTGTGTTTTGGGTACAACAAAGATGGCTGACTGCTTGGAGAAAAATATTGCACTGTAGAGAGTGAAGAACCTTTTCCTGAAAACAAGATTTAAGCATAAAAGCACTGAAGAAGAGCAATAAAAGACTATTGAAACAGTGCATAAATTACAAGTGAATGAAGTAAATTTGGAGAAGTGGAGTGATGTCAAGAATAGATTTAATATAGATATTTCATAAAAATCTTTTTATAGAATGCTTACAGACATCATAAAATAAAAGAACTGGCAGGCTGATTGAAAACTGTTAGAAATGAAGTGGGGAAGACCATTGAAATGCTGAGAACCTTCTTTAAATATCAGGAGGATATTAGTTAAGATTAATTTATTGTTATTGCTAATCTTTAGAAAATTAGGCAGTAAAAGAAAAGATATTGGAAAACTATTTACAGGCTAAGTGCAGGGCTTAATTTCTAAGATTAGAAGTGCCGGAGCCCTATGGAAGACTGTCAGCAAAGAGGAACAAGAGTAAATAAACAAATAAAATGAGTATTAAACTCATTAATAATTTTAAAATTCAATAGTTAATTATTATTAAATTAATTAATAGCTATTTTAATCAATGTTTATAAATTGTTATTTAATCAATAATTATAGATAGTTATTAATTATAATTTAATTGATAATTATTAGATAATTAATTATTATTAATTGAAATAATTAAAAGATGGAAGTAATTAAATAAAATGGAAAAAGATAAATTGAAATTAAATTTTATTGTTATTAAATTTTAATTTATTGTTAAAATAAAATTTGCGAGATAAAATTTCTACTGAAATTGGTATTTAATTACATATAAGAAGTGCTGCAGTCTTCTTATTCAGGGCTCCGGCACGTTCTGGCTAGAATTATGATTTATTACAAAAACTAAGAAGCACCAGAGCCGAGATCTGGTGGGCTCTGGCCCAATTTAAGCTCTGATCATAAGGTGGGAAAAAAGTTCTTTTATCATCACAAAAATTAAATATACTTAAAGTATAGCTGATGAAAATTCCAGGGTGAAACAGAATGAGGGTATGAGTGGGTGGAAGCAAAAAATGAGGGGAATCTTGGTGAGAGAGAATGTTCTCTTTGACAACGGCTCTCTGCTGATATAATTATAGCCATCAAGCAGATATGTGCAAGGGGTAAAATGAGTCCTGAATCTGACCCCTAAGGATGAATGTAAAGTTGCTGGTTACGCTTTCCCCCCATTAGTGGATACTGTGGGAAGACCATGTATAGGACGTGCTCGGGCAGTTTATATCAGTATTTCACTCTTATTGTACTCGCTGTCACTTAACGCACATTTAATACCACAAATTTTCCTTCCTGTGAGGATAACTAACTGTAAGCATCAATAACAATACACAAGATAGAAATGGTAGTGTGAGAAATTTACGTGTTCCTAAACAAATTCCCCCAAATTTATTGCTTTTCTTAAAAGGGAAAGGTTTCTGCATGTGAGTGAGGAGACTTTACTCGAACGTCTCATGTTCTCATGAGTTCGTATTTCTAGGGAAATAGAGTATTGCAAAATCTGCTTATTGTTAAATTAAAATGTTAGGGATTCTAAATTTTTTCAGTAGTTCAGTTTCAGTAGTTCAGTTTTATAAAAAGAAATATCGGAGCTCATCTTATTTAGAGCTCTGGTGCACTCCAGCTAAAAATGGCTCTATGTATTATGTGCCAGAAATGTTTCATTTATACCTGATATGAATCCACTTGCCACATTTTTATTGCTATTAATAACAAATGCACACAGATCTATTTAAGATATCTAGTTTTATACACATAATATATATAAGAATCTCTTTAGTTTAAAAACTCTGTATATAGAATTTCCTTTTTTCATATTTCTACAGTTTTCAACACAAACCAGTTCAATTGGGTAAATGAAGATTAAGTGTTCTGAATAGTTTAGCTATAAAAATGGGAACAAAGAAAAATTTTTTAATATATATAAAATTTGTTATATGTTTGTTATTTCATCCTGCAGTTGCTTTTTTTACTAAAGCACTTTGTTTGATGTTGTGCAAATTGTATTTTTAGTTACTGAGATGAGAGATAGTGCGAACGCAAATTAGTTAGGGCTCACTCTTAAGCTCCAAGCGTGCGCTTGGAGCTTAAGAGGGAGTTACTGAAATTCCAATGATGTAGATGTTTGTTTGACGTAGGAAGGTAAAATTGGAGGTTTTGCTGTGTTTGATGAGTTGCCATTCTTAAGCCAGCGCTATGTTTTAAGAAGAAAATAATTGAGGTTCATTCAAGATTACAAATCTGTGATTTCTTTAAATTCTACTGAAGTTGTGCCTTTCCAAAGAAGATTTACATTTTTGATATTGTTGAGATAGCCAGCGAAATTACATCTTAGATCAGCAGAGAGCAAAGCTGAAGTACGTAGTTATTCAAGATGGAAGCATGTGAGGAGAAAAGTTGTCGTTTGCAATTTGGTGATTAGTCAAGAGGCATCTGCATTAAGGGTTACGTAAGATTGCATAATTAATTTGAATGAAGCAGTTTAGACTTACAGTGCTATTTTTAGGACAGAGCGATGAAGTTTCCAAATGAAATAAAAAATAAAAGAAGTTATAGTGAATTAAATTTAAAAGTTTGCTTTTTTTTCGTATTTTTTATTTTACATGTATATTAACATAATCCTTATTTTTAGTTTTGAAATATTGTCTGATCCTTCTATATTATTCTGGTGTATCTAAATATATTTTGCAAAAAAATTCATGTTAATTTGACTATATTTAGAGGTTGCTGAAGTCAGCGTAATTTTCACTTTCTGTAATTATCATTCTGAGTTAATATATAAAGAAAATTGGTGTACTTTGGTTATTTAGATATTATTATAATCCTTAAACTAATTTTGTTCAGGTCTGTTAGTTTTAACAGCTAAATAAACAAAGCCTAGTAATAGGGGAAAATTAAGCAGTATATAGAGTGACAAATGACTCAGATTGAAAGTGTTGTGTTAATTTTCTCAAGTGATCAATATACTTTTTTGGTACATGGTAATGATTTTAAAGAGGAGAAAACATGTGGAAGCACTAAGGGCAATGGCTATACTTTCTACCTCCATAGGCTTCTAGTGGTAAAAAAGCTGCTGGTTTAGAAGCTTTAACGTATACTGCTATAGTGGTATATATGAAATGTCTATATCTTGTCTTATAGAAGTAGTGATATAGAAACTTTCATATATATGGCTGGGTATATATGAAAGCTATTATACTATTTGTTGTTTTGGTTCTAGAGAGAATAAAGTGATTGAAAAGTGCTGTATCTGTTTTCTGCAGTATTTTTTGAAAACCATGGACTCGGAATAAAATATGTTAACATAACAGGTCTATTCATAGACATGAAGAAAAGATACACATGAAAAAATTGCAGCATATTTAAAAAGAAAATTTCAGATTAAATGCTTCCTTGCTGTTCTGTAGGGAAATATTATATAAATTAGCAAAAACTGTATATGGAATAGATATAGATGAACTGCTTGGTGCTCTAAAGTAACAAATACAAAGCTGCAGACTTAAGCAGTTGCTACTTTCTTTTAAGAATAAAGAATTATTCAGTAAACAAATACAATGTCATTTAATGCCATTGTCATCAACAGAAGTTACAGAAATGGAAACTTTATACTTTTAGAACAAAAGTTATAGAAAAACCTTCCTCACCTAGGATGTTATTATGCATTAAAACCTATTCTTGCAAGCATGATTAGTGCCATTCTCTGAAAATATTCACCTCTGCAGATGTCATTATTGGCAGTATAATAATAAATTGCAATATGTAGCTGATACATCTTTGGGCTATTAAATCACTGCAAAGGATTACTAATTGAGTATCATGTATAATGGTTTTCCATTTGGTAACACCTGGAGTGATAGGATATGCATTAAAACAACACCTCCATAACAATACCATTATAAATCATGCAGTGGTCATTGATGCTGGTTGCCACATTCTTTAGCCTGGGTTTGAATCCCAGAGAAGGCCTGGATATTTAAAAACATATAGTGTCTGTTGTGGCATGTGTCACTTAAGATACTGGGTAGCTGAAAACCCTCTCAAGTGGTTGGGAAAGAGGGGTGGGAGTTCTTTGGATCCATTTCCATGGTTTTCTCCCTCAAAACTTAGGCAGAGCTGTGCATTTAGTATGTTGGGACTGTGCTTGTACCACCAATGGTGAATTTCTGTTGTCTCACTCATTTCTGCATTTATCTGCTTTATATCATCATGGAGTGAAGAACATTTGGTGTGTCTTTTGCACACATGTCATCCAAGCCTAAATCCAGGCTAAAGGTTCTGAATGGCAGATTATGAATTTGTCAGCGTATATATGCCAACAAGCTTCATTGGAAAACTGCTGGTGAAAATATTGTCTGACCGTATCATCACTTCACTTCTTATATTCGGTGATTAATCTTAATGACTAACCATTTTCTGAAAATGGTGATATGATGTTAAACTTGCTCACTTAGTTGTACCTAAGACAAACTGGTGCAATGGCTGAGCGATGTAATTTATTTTGTTTTGGGGTGCATATTTCCCATGCAATTTAGACTTGCCTTGTTTCATTGACTGTGTATTATTTGTTACATATCTAATTAGGAGGTATTTTGTAAATTAATATGGACTTCTAAATCTAAGTTGTTTCCTACCCTAAATTTTGTAAATTATTTTAGTAAATGCTATTGTGTGCTTATAAGTTCCTAACTTGTAATAATTTTCTGATTTTGAATCAATAGAATGATTATTAGCGATTTCAAAAAGAAACATCTGTTATCTGTTTCTCTTAGGGTTCAACCAAAAGTGTTTTCTTATGCTGGTTCTAAAGATAGGAGAGGTAAAACAAGTCAGCTTGTTTCTGCTTACAGATTGGCTCCAGAAAAACTTCTTAGTGTGAATAAAAGATTCAATATGATCAAAGTGGGAAATATTGTGTAAGTAGCTAAAAATTGTTAAATTATCATTATTTAATTAGTATGGCTATTATTTATTTTCATTTTGTGTTTTAGATAAGAGTTATTTTTCATATTTGTAGGTATAAAAATGATCAAATGAAATTGGGTGATTTATTAGGAAACTCCTTTGTCATTATTCTCAGGTAATATACATATTTTAAATCTTTACTATCATTAAAGTGAAATGTATGTAATATTAGTTTAAAAGAAATTATCAACTCATGTATTTTGTTCATTTCAAAATTATATTCTTTCTTATTTTATAAAACCGTTGCTTACTATTATTTAATAATGCATTTTTTTGCCAAATATGAGAAAAATATGAACTTTATAATAACTCATTTTAATAAAATTAAACATAAAGCCAAAAATTTATATGTTATTATTAACTACTATACTATATATTAGCAATCTCAACTGCTAATATATAGTATCCAAATTATTTGAATTATTGAATGACTGTTCTCCACATGAATGTCTGGATGTTTTTCAACTAGCAAACAAAATGATGATCTTTATTTGTTATGTATTTATTTGATACATCACTTCAATATAGTTGGAGCGAGCTAGCTTGAACTCATAAAGGTGTGTATTCTACAGATAATGTATTTCATAAGATGTTTTAGCAGAAAAACTTTAGTTATTGTGCATTATTTAAAGAGCTATCAGCTAATGACATTAAAACCAAGTCAGGCTACATTACCTGGCAGCTTATAGAGCGCCTTAACATGATTCAACATACTCCCTCGGACGACTGTGCCAGCGGGGCGCCAACCCACCAAACAGCCCACAGGGACTTCTCATGTTCATCGCCAGAATTCATCACACTGAGGGTTGTGCAGGGAGCCGCCCCCCGGCACAGTGCTTAATATCTACATGAGAGCGTCCCCACAACAAAGGCAATGGACACGACAGTACCACTACGTCCCTGTCAAGCCCACACCTACCATAGGATGGATCTATGGTTCTAGTCTTGTGAAGTCCAATTATATACCCAACAAATCGAAGCTGGCAGGACACAAGTCCAGCCAGTGGTCTGGGAGAACCATTGGTCTCCTCCCATAAATGGTCAGTTCCGGAAATTCCCACCAGTCGATCCCCTGGGATTGGTTTGCTCAGCGTCATTAGCCTATATGAGCCAAGGCCTAGATCAAGGCATCGTATAGTTTCCAGCAGGGCCACGAGGAGTCTGACGCTGAGCTGTGGGAGATGCAAACAGGCAAGCTTGAAGCCATTCCCACAGTCCCTGCCCATCGATCAAACGCCAGGTCTCCTGCCTTCCGCCACTGCTTACGACAATCTCCTGCTCACGGTTCATGCTGCTTACAGTGGTTTCCAGCCGGTTCCGGACATCCATTCCCGGGTCAGGAACCGGCGTTCGGGCTTTAGATCAAACGCCAGTTCTCCTCCCGCTACGTGGTTGATTCTGCACATTTGTCCTCGGGGGTCCGAACGCCACTCGCCTATCAGCTAATGACAGCAATGAATCAGTTGATCATTAATACACACACACACACACATGTGTATATATATATATAATATTACCATAAAAATTTTACTGCAATATATATATATATATAATTTTTTTATTAGTGAAAGAAACAGAAAGGAAAACGAATATTAAAAGAGAGCTTAACACACCATTCAGTTTTAATGTCAACATTTTTACTTCCTTGTACAAAGTAAAAAGGAAGTATTGTAATCGTGAAAAGTTTCAGGCAGTATACTTCAATGAAAATATACATTTTGAGTGCTATTGAATGCAATTTAATGATGTTTTTGCTTGACATCTGTACGTATGGACAGAATAAAGGAATCTTTACCCCCAAACAGATTGTAAAATGGATTCAAAAGATAATTTCTCATCACTTCTGTATGTACATACATGCCGCGATTTTGCCTTTGCAAATATAAAATTTTTCTCAGTATTACGTGAGTATTGGTGTTATAGAAGATTGAGAGAAGGATTAATTTTGAAATGAACCAGTTTACTGTTTTAAGGATGGAAAGAGGAAAACAACTAAATTAAAAAAAGTCAAAGGACTGTATAAAATTAAAGGCCATTTTAATTTACCTGATTTTTCTTTAAACCTTTATATTTGCACATGTGTGTGTGTATTCTATGAAATTTGCTGTCATTTTGGTAAATTTAGATAGATTTTGAAATTTCATTTTATTTAAACAAGAGGAATTTCAAAGTAATGTAACTGTTTACAATGAACAGACATGGGAATTTAATTAAAAAAGACAAAAATTTTAAATTGAAACATGTCGTTAAAAAAACCAGTGTAACAAGGCAGACAGACAGAAAAATTTTTTCTATTGCATGCAATAACTTGTTTTGCAATTTTGAATAGATAAATTCAAAAGATGAGAAAAATTCCCCTGTTTAATTCTGCTGAACCTCAATCTCAATTATATGTTACATACATAGTTCATGTGAAATTTAAGAAATGACAGATCTTCTTAAATCACAGAAGATTTAATGTATTGCAAATTGCATTAGGGAGATGTTAAGATTTTGAAAATGGTGTATTTTCGACAGGATTGGTGAATTTCTTCTCTGGAGTAGAAAATCAGACGAAGAAACTGATAGTTTACTTATTTCATATTAATATTATTATACTTAAATTTTATTCATATGCAGTCAAAAGTCGTAAATCCGGACACCCATAATCCGGAATGATCTATAATCCGGTGTTGACGCATGCGCGTAATACCTTTACGCATGCGCGTAATACGTTTACGCATGCACGTTTAATGTATAACCGACGGTATAAGCTATACTAAAATGGTCTAATTATCTATTTCAGTTAATGTTGCAGATTACTTCGGTTGTTCCTTAATCTTCGGATTGTATCTGGCTTATTATTTTTTGCAGACTGTTAGAGCAATTTTATAAAAGTAAGTTGGAACTTTCGATTATGTCAAATAGAATTTCCGATGCTGGATCTACAAAGGGAAAGCATGTTTCGATGTCCATCAAACAAAAAGTGGAATTGCTGCAAAAAAATGTATAAAGTCTCCTTTGTTTCTCTAACCATTCCGAAATCTGTTTATCAATTTCACGCTGCTCTGCACGGGGGGGGGGGGGACATCACGGCGCGCAATGAACTGGAAGTTGATCTGTCAGCACTATCCTTATATCACGAATACAAATCAAATAGTTTTCTGGTTGAAATTTTCTAATTTCGACTATGCGTAATGTATGCTTTACGCATGCACGCATTGAAAGAACTGTTTAATAAAAAAAAGAATAAATATTAAGTTTTTTTTTTTTTTTTTTTTTTTTTTTTTGTAAATTTTGATACTCTTTACATCATAATTGCTCTTTATTTCATAAATTACGGTTTCATATTTTTAATTTTATAATTTCTGCGTGATATCTTACCAGATTTAAACTGATGATCTATAATCTGGAAAAATCGATAATCTGGAATCACCGAAGTCCCGACGAGTCCGGATTAAAGACTTTTGACTGTATAACACTCTTACATTACCAATAAATTTTAATATTTACATTATTATGTAATAACAAAGAAAAGAAGCAAAACAAAATATTGTGTAAATTGGGGTTTGCCTAGAACATTAAAATATTCATAAAAATATGTAAATATACAAATTTTAAAAAGTTAATTTTTTTTAAAAGTTATAAATCATAAAATCATAGCCATTTCTTATTGGGTCTTTATGGTTGATAAAAAAAACATGAAGTAAATATGACATCAACACGCAAATAAGAATTCTACCGCTATTTTCACTGAATTTTTGAAGAAAGTTATTAAATTATGTTGCATTTTATTGCAGAAATAATAAAACATTTATTTTCAAATAAGTTAAACTGTTCTAATAAATTTATCCCCTTCACTTAGCTCCACGGGTGCATAATTGTTAATTTCTTTTAGTGTCCTGGAAGAAACCTAACTCTAAGTTGTCTTCCTTTACAGTTAGTGCTTTCGATATCAGATCCAACTACAAGACTCATTTTTTTCATTCCAGTGTTACCTATCATGCATATCCACTTGTGAAATTCTATGAATAGACTGAAACGGTGAACTATTGTATAAATGAAAGATGGATTATACTTTATTCGTGCGATCATAAAATCTCCTATTTAGAAGCTCATCTGCAAATAAATAATCTGCACATTTTGATATTACCTAAATATTATCTACACATTTTTACTTTCTTGTATGAAGTAAAAGAGGAAAAAGGAAGTATTGTAATCGCAAAAAGTTTCAGGCAGCATATTTCAATGAAAATATCCACTTTGACCGCTATCGAATGCGATGTTTTTGCATGACATCTGTACACAAGGACTGAATAAAAGACTATTTTCCTCCAAAAAAATTATAAAACTGCTTTAAAATGAATTCTGAAGAGAATTTTTCGTGATCTCTGTACGTACGTATCTCGCATAACTCAAAAACGAGTAACCTCAGAACGTTGAAACTTTGTATTTAGGACTGCTGTAATATAGAGATGTGCACCTCGTATTTTGGTAGCGATCGGCCGCACCAAAATATTAGTTTACCGCAATTTTTTATGGAATATTATATATATATATATATATATACATGTGTGTGTGTATTAATGATCAACTGATTCATTGTTGTCATTAGCTGATAGCTCTTTAAATAATGCACAATAACTAAAGTTTTTCTGCTAAAACATCTTATGAAGTACATTATCTGTAGAATATACACCTTTATGCATTCAAGCTAGCTTGCTCCAACTATATTGAAGTGATGTATCAAATAAATACATAACAAATAAAGATCATCATTAGTATATAAATATATTTATATATACAGTGGATGGACAAAAATATGGAAACACCTTGTGAAATGCATGTTTAAAAAGAAAGATTGATTTTAATGAAATATGTAGGTGGCGCTGGCATTTTTGACTACTGACACCACCTATACAACTTCGTAAATGTGCTAAACAGTTGAGTTGTTGTCGGAGTACTGTTATGTGAGGTTGTCATTGCATTATGTCAGAGTTAACAGACTTCGAACGTGGGCAAATTGTTGAAGCACGTATGGTAGGTGCTTCCGTAAGCAAGGTAGCCGAAGTGTTTAGTGTTTCAAGAGGTACTGTATCGAAGATTTATTCCGCATATTTGAAAAGAGGAAGAACATCATCTGCTAAATCACAGCGCGGACGAAAGTGTGTCCTGAGTGATCGCGACAGACGATCATTAAGGGCAATTGTGATGAAAAATAAGAAGACCACAGCTGCAAAAGTTACTGCTGAAATGAATGTTGTGTTACTGAACCCTGTGAGTACCAAAACAATTAGAAGGGAGCTTCATAAACAGGGAATTGCTGGCCATGCTGCAATTGAGAAGCCACTCATCAGGGATGCTAATGCCCGTAACAGGAAAAGGTGGTGTTTAAGTCATAAAGCCTGGACTATAGAGCAGTGGAAGCGAGTAATATGGTCTGACGAGTCTTCTTTCACATTGTTTCCCACTTCTGACCGAGTTTATATCTGGAGAACGCCATTTCAAGCCTATAATACAGACTGCTTGTTGCCAAGAGTGAAACATGGTGGGGGTTCTGTTATGGTTTGGGCAGCCATATCGTGGTTCTCTGCTAGCCCCATAATAACTGTGTCAGGGCACATGACTGCCAAGACTTATGTGAACATTTTGGCCGATCAAGTTCATCCCATGGTACAAACTTTGTTCCCCGATGGTGATGGTGTCTTCCAAGACGACAAAGCCCCTGTTCACACAGCTCACATTGTCTAGGACTGGTTTTCTGAGCACAAGGATGAGTTGTCCCATCTCCCCTGGCCACCACAGTCACCAGACCTGAATATTATCGAACCTTTGTGTCTACATTGGAACGGAAAGTGCGTTCTCGTTATCCACCGCCAACATCGTTATCTGACGAGAATCTAACGTCATCGTTATCTGACGTTATCTGACATTCCGAGAAGACTGCAAGCTGTTTTGGATGCCAACGGGTTTCCTACACCATATTAAGCAAAGAAACATGTTTTTTTAAAGGTGTTTCCATATTTTTGTCCAACCCCTGTATATCCACTCTGTTACCCGGCTCAGTGATCTCAATTTCTTTACTCTTATATGTTTGTAAATTCTTATCTTCCGATTAAAGTTTTTATGCCTTTAGGAAATCTGCAAGCAATATTTGTAGAATTATCAACAATTTAAAAGCTGTTAAGTTCGGTTAAGCCTAATTTATAAAATAACATGGCGGACATGTTTGTTTTCATTTGAAACAGCAGAATGGTAGATTTGTTGCAATCTAGATGGACTAAGCTTTGCAACAACAAAGATAACGCCTTCATTTATTATTGCGAATTAAATCATGCTTAATCCTTTCTGGAATGTTTTCAAGGAAATAAGTGTTTAAGATTTATTTCGTAATTATAATATAGATATTTTGAGTTTTTATGTATTTTTGCCTTGTTGTGAAGTGAGAACTGAATTAATTGAATAAGAAATACTGAATTGTCTGTGAAAAACTGTTTTTTTGTTTTGTTTTGTTTTGTTTGCTTAATTTCTTTTAAACGTCATTCTAGATTTATTATAGTATTTGAATAGAATATGTGGCAACGATTAGATAATTCTTAAAATAATATAAATTTTGTGCATTCTGAGCTATAATATGAGCGAAATATAATGCTGTTAAGTGAACCTAGTGCCAGAGTGTTGCTATGGTAAACAAATATCATGAATTTTAAAGAGTGCATTTATTCTATTGTGGTTTATGCACTATCGACGAAGTAGATTTAATTCAATCCAGTAAGTTTAAATGAAATGCAAGAAAGAATGCATATAATTTAATATTTCATACAAGGAAGTCGTGGTGTACACATCTGATTTTTTTTAAAAGACATACAGATACACTAACATCATAAACACAGTGTATATTCAGTTGAAAGCAGTTGTTATACCGTAAACCCTTAATAAATGTGGACTTGCAGAATGATTCTGAATATACATGTTTTTTCAATTGTCTGCATTTAATTTGTCCAGTGTGAGAATTTCAATTTTATGGTGCATGCTGCAGAATGTTGGCTGTGTTGCCATAGTTCTCTTTAGTAACTGGTTTGAAAATTCATTAAAAAGGTCAAAAATTACTTTAAAAAACCTGAGCTTTAAAATTCTAATTCTCGATAATGCTCTAGAACATGGTACTGAAGCCCTCGCAGCATTGCAGCCAAATGTAGAGGTTTTATTCCTTCTGGTAAACATCATTTTTTTAATCCAACCAATGGATCAATGAATCCTAAAAAAATTCAAAACCTTTTATGTTAACTTGTTTACATCTCTGCAAATAAAATGCTAGATTAAGGAAAGCTTAACACGCAAATGACATTTGGTAAGCTATTCAACATAAGACACTGCATAAAAATGATTAAACTCTCATGGCAATAAGTGAATTCATCAACAATGAATGTCTGCTGGCGAATGTCTGCTGGCTCATATCATGTTGGTTAGGAGTTGTCAACAATTTTAAAGGATTTCCAGTGACTGAAAATGAAGGCAAGGGAATCATACAAAATTGTGTAAGCAATTGGCAGTGAAGAATTTTCAGATATAGAAAAAGAAAAAATTAAAAAAAAAAAAAAAAAAAAAAAAAAAAAATTAGTGAAGAATGACAGTAGTAAAATGATAAATGAAGAATTGAGTGATCTCATAACACCAGTCTACAGTGAAAGCAGTGATAGTGAAAAAGAACTTTTAACATACAAGAAGCTAAATGATTTGGGAAAAAAATGTGCCAAAATTGTCTGATTTTATAATAGTGATTGATCCAAACAAAGAAAAAAGAAGACAGTTTATGAGAGGTATCGAAAACTTTCCACTCCTTACCAGGAAATGTTTAACGAGTTGTGTCAGACATTGTCCCAAGAAGACACTTTATGAGGGGTACTAAAAAACATTGCACTCCTTAATCATGAAATGTTTCGTTAGTTGCATCAAACATTGTTCAAAGAAAAAAATCACCAGCTATTTAAAAAAAATAATTGTGTCATGTACCGTCTTTTTAAGCAATAATAGAAAATGCATTCAATAAACATTTGTTCCATTTTCCCCTTTTAATAACGATAATATTTAAATTTGTGTAAATTATACATAACTTTTTTAATATGAACTAAATGTTACCCTTTTTTCCATAGAATTTTAATTCATCAACAATGAATGTCTGCTGGCATCACGTTCGTTAGGAATTGTCAACAATGGTTAGGAGCTTTTGTGATTTATGTTATCTTTGATTTGTACATGCAACTGTATGCAACTCTGCTAGCCAGGTTCTAAAGATACAAATGAATGGTCATTGGGATCTTTGCACTTTCTTTTAACTTCCAGGGAGGTTGAGTTTCAGTATAGCATAAACTCTTAAACTGGTTTCGAGTTTTGTGTTAGGAAGCTTTTGGGAGTAATTGTCCTTAAATTTGTTTGCTTATTAGCCTTGAGAGAAGAGGAAAAATTACGTATTTCTCAGGAAAAGGCTGGCATTTAATTCTTACATTTAAAAACTAAATTTGCTTTCTTTTAATATAAAAAATAAGGTTAAAAAATATATTAATATTTTTTAAATTTAAATATTTTATTATTATTATTATTATTATATTAGATTATTAATATTATTTTATTATTATTATTAGAGGTATAGTTTTTAGAAAATATATCTTACTGAGATAAAAATATTGCCTTTTGTGCTTAATAATGTGGTGTACATATTATCTATCAAGAAAGGGGAAAACAAACAAAACTTTTTAAAAAAAGAACTTTAAGAGAAGGAAGATTAGAATAAATTTTAAAAACTTATAATAAAAATTCACTGATGATTAGGCATCAAATAAAATGCTTTTAAAATGTTCAACTCCATGTAATAATTCCATGTAAAAGTTTATAAATGTGTTAAAACAATTTTCTTTGGGAGTTTTGGAAATTGAAATATCAAAACTCATTGCATTAATTTCTTTAGGGGAAGTATGGGCTTTAGAACTATTTATTGGAGGTGTTAAGGCAACCAGAATCAGCATACTGAGCATTAGAGACTAATTTTGAAGGTATAAATATCAAACCTGCTTCATCAGCTGCTAAAGTGAAAATGATGAAAGAGAAGCCTGTACTCAAGCGATAAGAATGAAAGAAAGGAAGCCAAAATACTGGCACCATCTATTCATAAAAAAGGAAAACAGCTATGAAATAATTTCCTTAAAAACTGGGAATAAAGGCAGATTGGAATTGTGATCGTAAATCCTGCAAATACTATTATGTTGATACTTATTGCTTTAACGCCTCCAAGAATCCTTAGTCAGCATGTTAATTAGATTTGTAGAATCATTTGTTAGAAAGTCCATATTTACTTATTTATTCATCTTTGTTTATTTAGACAGGTTGAAGGCGATACTAAAACTGTTGAGCAGGCAGTAGAGTCCTTATCTTCAAAAGGCTTTATAAATTATTATGGGATGCAAAGATTTGGAACATCTTCCATCTCTACACATTCTATTGGCAGGTAGAATATATTTGTTATTTTTTTAAATTCATATCATATGATATATTTCCTATCTCTTAAATTTGTGTTCATTTTTAAATAATAAACATATTTAAAATATCTAGTCATAGTTTCTAATGATGGCCTGTATCCAGCTGTGAAAGTTGTGATTTAACCCTTTCCAGTATGTTACCTTTTAAAGTCGGAGTTTTTATTTAAAAAAAAAAAAAAAAAAAAAAAAAAAAAAAAGGGTAGGCAGTCTAATTAGGCCTAGAGGAGTACACAAGTAAAATTTTGTGAAAATAGCACTTATTGTTTTAATTCTGTGAGTGTGCCCAAATTAATTTATAGATTTAATTCTGGGAGTGTCACTGATTGAATAGAGCTTCAAAAAGAGTGCTGAAATGAGCATTATTGTCAATGAACTGACCGATGAGATGCGGAGAAACAAAGAATACAGACTCTCAGTTATCCTAGATTATCGGTGAGCCCGGTCTGGGCACACTTAGGGTTCGCCGTTTGATTTTAGGCTAGATTTCAAGGTAAAAATTTAAAACTAATCTAGAATAAGGAGATTAGCATACAGCCGAAAAAATAACATAGAAATTTCTTTTCAAACAATTCCTTTTATACCCTAAAAAAATTTGGAAGTTTTCTTTGAAAAATGAGGGTCTTAAAAAACTAAACATGGCTAAAATATATGGACTGGTTTGTGTTGAGCTGCCATCTATTATAAATAAAGAAGGTTAGTTTAATTTATAGTAACCTATAATTTTTTTTTCATTCAATTTTTCTGTGCATACAGAAGGAAATTTTTTGGTGTGTCCAGACCGGACACACTGTACTGCAAAGGGTTAATATAGACCATGTTGTTATTTAAAATTTTTATTTTCTTATTTTTTTAAAAAACAGTCTGTCATCATAAATAGTGGAAGTCTATGGAAATAAAAAGCAAAATAAATAGTTAATAATTCTTTATCAAAAAAATATTTATTTAATAATTATTTAATAAATAATTTATTTTTATTACATGCTTTAATATAAAATTTATTGTTTGCCAAAGTGGGATTATGATGTATGTTTTTCTTGGAACAAATAGGCTTTCAAATAACAAGAACAAGAGACTTGCAAATTTAAAGCAAATTTAAAAAAGGGGCTCACATGAACCCTCTATAGCTCATCACATATCATACTTCTTTCATCAATTTGTTTTTTCTTCCTTTGCATGACTAAACAAAAGTCTGCATATATCTGGCTGTCTTAGTGGAAAAATCAATAGCAAGTTTCAGTGGATTAGATGACTTACTAATCATTTAAATCCAATTTAGATGTTCCTGTTTGTTTTTAATTACTTTTAATGTGAAGATTATCATGAATATGAAAAGTGGCTGTATGAGGTCATTTTCTATAAAGATTGATATGCTTGTATATTGAGACATATTACTTTCACTGTTAGCATTAAAATGAGTAATCATAGCATATTATCTCATTTTATTATGAGATTTTTGCTCATCTCTGGCGTTACTGAGTTGCAACAAGCACACATCTTGTAGATAATTGATGTAAAGGTAACTTAACAGCTGACTAACAGGTTTGTCATATCAGATATTGGTAATTTGAATATCTTTGTGATTTATTGATGTTCACATTTGGAAAATAAGAAAAATATCTATAAACAAAAAAGCTCCATATGGAATATTTTATAAAATTTCAAGCATGTAATATTCATTACCATTTATTGCTTTCATTTGTTTAATTATGGAACGATCATGATGTTTGCAGTTGTTGGTTTGTTAGTGTATTCTTATTTATCAAAATTGTACATTCTTGTAATTTGAATAATCTTTTGAAAAATTTTTTAGAGCTCTCTTAATGGGAAACTGGAAGACTGCCATAAACTTAATTTTGAAACCAAGATTAGAAGGTATTAATTTTTTTCAATATATGAATATATATAGATTTTAAGGTATGAAAGAAAATTTTTAGGCAACTCTAAGCTTCTTAAGTAGTATTGCTTCTTTTACTTAAATAGGTATTATTTCTTAATTGACAAGAATGTAAATTTTAGAGCATGAATCATCCTAAAATGTTTCAAGCAGCAATATTTGAATATATTCATCTTTAATAAATTAGAGTATGTAATTAATATTGTTATAAATATAATTAAAGTTGTTATGAATGTAATTAATATTGTTATTGCCATATAAATGTTGTTTCTCCAAACTTTTCATTCTTTTTAAAATTCTGACATATTTAATTTTCTTTTAATTACCTCTATTTCCATATGTGCATGTTTTAGGCTGACAGATTGCAAGCATTTATAATCTGATATGTTAGTGTTAGCAGTTTTAATTAAAAAACAAAGGGAGGAACATTATATTTTGTTTATTGACCTCATGTGTATTCATGCAGATTGTTATGCTCATTACTTTTATTTCATTATGATATAATTAAACTTTGACTAAAAAAAATATAATGTAATAGTTGCTGATCTCATTTTAGTGACTGCTTTTAGAATTTAATGATTCGGAAGTGCATTTAAAAATTAGAAAAAATATATATTATATTTACATTTGTGTATTTTCTCCTTTTTTTTACTAATTTTACCATGTGAATAATTTGATGTCTAGAAGAAGCAGAACATAACAAGTGAAAAGTATTTATGGGTAAATTACCTACAGCTATCAAAATATTATTTATTTAAAAGAAACCTACTTTCAATAAGAATGCATAATTATATTAACATTGTGATATCCAATAAGATATCTCCATTTTTACTTCCTTGCATCTTGACTGTCACTTGCTCTTATTGTTGTCCAGTGCTACTAGCCTCAAATTAATTATTGGCTGCTGCTAGAACTGCTGTCCTTGTCATTTACTGCAGCTTGAAAGCTGTCATCATCGTCACCATTGTCATTGTCTTTATCACCATTCAATCAGTCTTCTTTCATGCAACAGTTTTCAGAACTATCAAGAGCATTAGATATTTCCATTTTTCTGAAGCTCTTCACTATAATTGCTTCATCAATCAAAGCACATGCACCCAAAATCCATGAGCAAATCAGTTAGTAAGATGGAAACAACCACTATAGGGATGAATTAATTTTGAAATTCAGGAAAGCTCGCTCTCTGATTGCCTCAAAGAAGGGGAAAATTAAGTGAATGTTTAAAAATGTTTTAGAAACTTCTACTAAAAGGCTAGGAGAAAAAATATGGATGTAAATATGATAAATATGCAAATCAAAATTATAATTTAAACTAGCAAATATTCCTCCTCTCTCTTCTGACAATAGTAAGGCCTTTTTCTGGTCTGCATCATTTCCAGATAATCTATATCATAATATGGTTTGCGTAATGCTGAGGATATAGCTAATCCAGAACTTTGAGAATTGAAACCTTCTCCTAATAAGCAACTTAAATCTTCTCTTGGCAAGTTTCCATGTTGGATAACTGTGAACTTTAGCGTCTACTTCTCTTCTTGTTAAGACACTATTTCACTGTGCTCTCTTCCTATGACAACAGTATCAAAAATGTAAATGTTCTTTAATAGGCATGATTAGAGTGCCAAATAAATTATGGTTGCGAATGTCAATTGATATAAAGTTGAATATTTATTTACTCTTACTTAACTGCAAAGTTTCCTGTTCAGTATGGATCTACTTTCTCCATCATCAACACTGCTATGTCTCTTTCATTGCATATATATTATAATAAGTATGCATATACACTAAAAATGGATTTGAATTAAACATTTAAATTTGCCTTATAAATAATAAATTTTAGGAGATGAAAACTTATCAGAGTCTAGAAGAATTTGGCAAGAAACAAATGATGCAAGAAAAGCTCTAGAAAATTTGAGGCATAAATCAAGTATTGAAGGTAAATTACTCCAAGGCCTTGCATCGAGTGAAGAAAATAATCTGGTTAATGCTTTAAATGCTGTAAGTATTGTGAAGTGAATATTTACATTTGGTAATTCATTTTGAGTTGATTTATAGTAATTTTAATGAGTATGAGTTGAGAAGTTTTAATGTATCATCTTTATTACTGTGATATGTAAAAATAATGGTATCTTTATTATGCAAAACATAGTTTGTATTAGAAAAGTAGGAAGTAAAGAAGAGCAAATGCAAATATCTGTAATATTTAGCAGTTTTTTTTTTTTTTTTTTTTTTAACATACCATCTATTTGCAGTGACAAGAATAAAATGTGTTTAATTTAAATATTATGTTTGAGTTATTTTAGAAATTTATTTAACATTTATTATTATCCCTGGCATTAAACTGACAAATGCAACTAATTTTTGAATTTCTGGGTGCTTAGAAGAAATATAAAATATTTAATAAAATTTGTATAGTTCAAGAGTACTCTGCCTAATTAGAAAAACCTGTCATTATACACATCATTGCTTAATTTTAAAAAAGCATTAAAATTTAAAGGTTTTAATTAAATGTATCATCTGTTGAAGTGGATATTTTGCATTTTCTGTAAGTTAGCTTTTCAATTCTCGTGATGTTCTGCTGGAAAGAGAAATGTAAATGGTCATCTCCATCTTTCCTTAAATTGAATGATGATTAATTTTGTCTTTTAGAAATGTCTGTAGCATAGTTTAGCATTAATTTAGTGCTATATTATTTCTGCCTACCAATGACTGAATGGCTAAAGCATGTAGTAATTGTTCCTAATTAGTGAATGTACTGTCTGCATTGTGTTTTCAAAATGAAATATAGTAAAATAAATATAGGCCAGATTCCCTTGAAAAGTCCTCCATAAAGGCATCCATTCTGTTAACCAAATAACCCTAGTGTATTTTGTTGATGTTCAATGATCTAATGCAACTCGGTCTTGATTTTTTTTGGGGGGGGGATTTGCTTTCTGAAACTTGACTCAGTTTGACACATTCTGTGTAATGTTTTTTTTTTTTTTTTTTTTTTTTTTTTGCAAATGAGAGTAGTTTCTAGGGTTCTGTGAAGATCAAGACAGTTTTAGTAAAGTGGTTAATACCTTTGTAAGAATTAGAGAAGGATGCAGGTAAAGCATATTAGTTCAGAATTAAATAAAGTTACTACCTTTCATGTTTTCTTGCTGAACTCATCACTTTCAAACAGTATTTTACTTTTTTCCAACTTTTCAAATTAATTTTATTTAAACATTGATTATAATAATATGAAATTATAAGGAAATTAATAAGCAATGTAGATCTTTTTTCCATCTTACAGGATGTTATTTTCATTTATTTTTTCTAGACACACATGCATTATTCACACACAAATTTTTAGGCAATTTTGTTCTCTTGCAAAGTATTTGATTGTTAAATGAGAATGTCTTCTAGTTGTGTATTTTGATATCAGTCCATTGCCACACTGCATGTCATTCAGCAGTTCTGATTTCCATCATTCAGGCTAGGTATTTAAAATTCATTTTAGTTGCCACAGACATAACATTGTTTCCATTTGGAATCATAAGTTCTGTTTTACACCTAGATTCAGTATGTTATTTTTTCCCTCTTATTTTCTGCCCAAATTATTCCATTTTTCGAATATCATGGCCTCTTTTCAAGTGATATTAAAATGGAATTTAGATTTTGGATTAAAATTTAATTTAATTTAGTTTCAGCTAAACTTCAGATTTGCAGATTTAGAAAAGTTTAAATGTATGTGTGAATTCTAAACTGATGCAAATATGGATGTATATGTGCTAGTAAATGCGCTTACACCAAAATATATATTGATTTTAATAATATATTATTCTTTAAATGTAGCTTTGTATATCCTCATTTATATTTAGATTCCTCGTAACACTCGTCTAATGTACATTCATAGCTACCAGAGCTTTATATGGAATCAAGTTGTATCCAGACGAATCAAGAAATATGGATTAAATGTTTTAAAGGGAGATTTAATATCAAAAGTACCAAATGGTGAATATTATGCAGTTTATGTTTTATAAAACTTATTGTGACTGAAACTGTCCCGTTTTTTATATTATATATTATTACTTAGCAAATCTATTACAAATCAATTTTATTTGTAAGTATTGGAATAAATTAATAATAAATGGTGAGTAAAATAAATGGTGAGTTTTTAAAATAATATAAATATAGCACACTTGAAATATGGAAGAAAGAATAGTTAAACTGTTTTTCAATGAACTCATACTAATCTTTATAGTAATTGTTTTAAGGGAGATTGATTCTTATATATGATGTGGTACGATATGTCTTATATATGATGTTGAGTAAATCTGAACATATATACAGAGTGTTTTCAATTTAAGGGATAAGATTTTAAGTGGTGGTAAAATGTATTCAAATTTTATTTGTAAAAATATGATGCACAGTTAAAACTCAAAGAAAGAAGCAATAGAAAGTTTTTTATGATTTTCTTTATAAACAAGTATTTTCAGAAACCTTATCAATCACAACACTGACTTCTGTGGGTTTGATTGATTTACAAATACTAAAAAAGCTGTCTTGCACAACTTATTAGGAGGACTGCAGTGGAGATAGAAAATTATACTCTTAATTACTCTCCCACTAGTCATGTGCAGGATTATAAAATATGTTTGTACTGCTAACTTGAAATGGGAATATACAATGCCAGTAGATTTCACACTTCCATTGCAGCTTTTGAAACGGTAGAACACATTCTATATAGGGTTGAAGAACATTTGGACATTAACCTATCCTGCACATAGCATAAGTCTGAGCCAGATCATGGTATAGAAAGTTTGGCTCTTACATATAATCCCATTAATTGTTAAATTTGGCAACCATTGAACGATGAAAGTTGGCTGAGATCCCACCAAAACTGCACCAGTCGTTTCTGCAGAATGATGAGCTGCACTTCTATCTGCAGCTGTTACAATGAAGCCTATGTTCGTCCTTATGCAATTTACCAAGTAGCCACTGCTGCAGAAGTATTGCCCCACTTTATTTCTGCACTTCATATAAAGGCTTTCATCAATTTCTACTATTTTGTTAGGCTCTTGGATTTAACTGAAAGTTCTATTTATAACAGTATAAGCTTCCTGCAGATGATTGTTCCAGTCTGTTACCATTTTGTCAGCCCAACTGTACTTCTCCCCATTCAACAGATGGTAGTTCTCTCGATCAGCTGTAATGAACTAGGATGTAGCCACAAATGTGAATCTACAGCCATCAAACTAATTTTTCCCCCTATTCGACAGATGTTAATTCTCTCGATCAGCTGTTATTGAACTAGGGTGTAGCCACAAATTACAGCCATCAAACTAATTTTTTTTTTTTTTTTTTTCAAAATACAAGAAACAAAAAATATAGCAAAATAATAGTTAATTTATACCCTTGGTTGTAAAAACAAACATTACCTTATGAAGAATTAATCGGGGTTACATCAAAGGAAAGCGTAGATGTTGTGATGCTTATCTATACCATATATTTCTGTGTATAAGTTGAGAGTTTTGCAAATTATTTCTGAAGCTAAATTACATGGGGTGCCTTATATGTGGATCCACTAATCCAGAAACATAGATACCTTTCTGTTAGCCAAGCACAGGTGTTAAATTGGCAAATATCGCCAAATATTGCACTTTTTAAAATTTTTTAAGTTTATATTTCTTATGAAAAAATAAATTTTAAATGAAATAAGTTATTTGTCTTTTGAAAATGAGTTCTTTTATTTTCAATATTGTTTATATTGCTGATTTGTTGACAAAACAAAAAATCTGATGTTGGTGAAACTTGTATCTTGCTGATGGAATCAAACATATACCAGAAATAATAATAGAATATCATATATATAGAAAAAGCTGTAATTTTATTTGCTTACTAGTTCTTACCGGGTCATTGTAAATTTCTTGATATGGAGCTAGATAGTTTTGCAGTTCTCTTTTGAATTTTCGGCTTATTACAGCGAAAGGGTCTGTATTAAAAATAATTCGAGTTTTTCGGATAAGCTTAAGCTCTTTTAATTTTTGTTAAATTATTAACTGCACTGTCTTCATCAGGGCTAGGGTCCTCAGAATTGATTTGATGTACAACTTCGGATGTCATTTCCATCAAATCTGCTTCGTCAATTTCTTCTTCCGCTAATAAATCTTGAATGTCCTGAATAGTCATGTCGTCAAAACCTTCGCCTCCAATTGATTTAGCAAGTTTTAATAAGCCAGCAGTTTCATTTTCTGATGATTCGAGCACGTTTTCTATTTCAGATGAAGAGGGTCGTATCTTCTTCTAATATGCATTTAACGTTGATGCTTTCAGTTCTTTCAGAGACAAAAATAAGATGTCGATACAGTGCTTGATTGAAAAATGGTCTTCCAAGCTTCTGTTACCTTAATTGATTTTGAATTGGTTATGTCTAAAGTCCAGTGTAATGCTCTTCTTAAATAATATGTTTTAAGGGTATAAATAATACCTTGATCCAATGGTTGGAGTAACGAAATAGTGTTAGGTGGTAGGAACGGTATTTTGACATTGGGATGATTCAAATCTTGTGGCTGACATGGAGCATTATCTAATAGTAATACAGCCTTGAAGCTAAAAATTTTCTGGTTTAAATAATGTTCAGAGACTGGCAAAAAGCAATTTAAAAGCTAAACTTTAGCTTCATAATCAATGCCCTAGCAGCTTCATAATCAGCCGATGCATATTCTCCTTGAATTCTTATGAGTTGCAAGGTGCTTTTTGAAATTTTCGAACAAACCTTATCTTACCAGAAAATCCGCATTGACAGATTAATTCTCCATGTTCTTTAAGGTGCTTGAACATTTTGAGTGCTTTTTATTTAATGATATAAACTTCCAATGAAATTCTTTTTGACAGCTATCATCAATCCAAATGCTGAAGGCCTTTTCCATCTTCTCAATTATTTGCACCGGGGGGGGGGGGGGGGGAGCTACGCATTTTACGAATGTTGAAGATGCTGCAGCAACTGCACTTCTTATTTCTTTTTCATTTTTCTTAATGGCCTGGACTGTTGTTTCATTCAAATTAAAACATTTTCCAATATGAGATGCCTTTTCTCTGTTTAAACGACGATGCAAAATTTGTATCTTGTTCTAAAAGAAATGAATTTCCTCGTAAACATTGTTTTTTATCTTTATCAGATATGGTTTGGGACTGAACTTAATGTCTTAAAGATGAAAAAGTTATTTTTTAACACACCATGGCTAGAAGCAGACTGCCGACCAACAACATGAGACACTTTTGTTTTCAGGCCATGGAGATGAGGATTTGAATATTGGAAGCCAAACATGCAGGTTGTGCATTTTAGAGCACTATTGTGACCTCATGTTGTTCACCTTCTGTGATAGTGAGGTTTCTTCATTCTTATCTGGTGATTGTGCTCTCTTGAAACTGGGTATTGCTTCTGTTGTGCAATTGTGTTTTGAAGGTCGTAGAAGGAAATTATTTTAATCCGTTACCAGTTAAAATTTCACTCCTTTCCATCACGTGGCTCATTTCCCTGAGGACATTTGTACTTACAGGTACAGGATCTTGGAAGACAACTGGCAGAATTTACGAAACAAGCATTCTTATGTGTTAAATGACTATATGGGTGGTTCGCTCAATATGGAAAATTTTTACGCGGAGTTCATTAAATTTTTTCATATTGCTTGGGCAGTTTTCGTATCATGTTAGAGAGAAACCGTGTTGTAGGAGGGTTCTCGCAATTTATGAATCGTGCTATAGCGAAATCGTGTTACAAGATGCCGTGTTGTAGGAGGGGTTACCTGAAGCTAGTGAAAGGTTCATCATGCCATACAGTGCAAAATCACTTTAAGCTGGCTTTCATGGTGACCTGTTGTTATCATAAAAAAGGATCTTAGAACCTTTAATATATAACAATGTAATTTGAGGCAAATCAAACAACATGGGAGTTTTGTTCATTTTATCAGAATTAAAAATTTGATTATCACTTTCACTTTAGAATAAATATAAATCAAAATGTATTCTTTTAGTATTATTCTAAAACTATATGTGGGATGCATTCTTATGAAATGTGTAATTAAAATTTTTTCTGATAAAAATTTCATTTTAATTTGTTTTTATTCAAAATTTCTCACTTTGTCTGTATTTATTCTAATTTTGTTGTTTTTTGTATTATTTTAAACAGTAGAATTCCTGGATGATGAATCTGAAGCTATGAGGTCTGAGAATCCTAAGAAACATGCACTTTCTAGCATGGTCAAATTTGTTTCAGATGAAGATATAAACAGATTGACAATAAATGATATTTTGATGCCATTACCTGGCCACAGTGTAGTATATCCAAATAATGAAAGTAAGCATTTTATTTTCTTCTTTTTGATTCATTCCTATTACATGACAAATAAATTTGAAAGTGTTTTTGAATTTTTATTCGTTTTAATTTCCATGTAAACAAACATGATTTTTTGGCTTATGCATATTTTATTATATATTTTGCATTAATTGTATTTTATATATAAAATACGTTATAATACATTGTATGTTATGTAATAAAATTAATTACTAATTTAATTAAAATTATTTTAAATACATTGTAAAATATTCCTTTTTTCAGTTTTGACATTGTAAGACAATAAGACCTGCGCAAGGTAACAGATATCAGTACTTTGATAAAACTGGGGCCACCATGAGTAGGAGATTGACTTCAATCCCACAATTGAAATATTGTGGCTTAAATAGCTAATTAATTAAAACTGACTTTACAGAGCTGTGTAGCTATATTTATTGACTTTCAAACTCTTTTAATTGAGTGTGGAGGAAAGATCATTGTAAGAAAATTAAAATGATCAGTTTGAGATATGTGAAAATATGCATAGTTGGATTAAATCCTTCCTGGAGTCCTAATTTATCAGAACCATGTTTGATGGCTTATCGGTATGGATTGTCATGGAGCTCATATATTTAATGCTGGAATAAGTCCATTCCTGTTCAGTATCATGACTAGTGATATGGTTCACATAGTTATGAATTAGATAATGCAGTGGAGGCTTTTCTGTTGACAGTTGATCTGGTACTGTGGTCCATTGACAGGAATAAAAATAAAAAATCCAGGACTTCTGGAATGAGGACATTAGCAGTCTTTTAGCATGAGCTGGAAAGAATGAAATGATTATAAATATTAATAAAACTAATTATCCAAGTTTTTACTCTGTTTGCAAAACCTAAATATATTATAGTATATGCAAACTGTAATAGAACTGACTGGTTAAATCCAGTGGGTATTCTCCTAAGATTGTGGATATTGGTACCTGCAGAAATAAATTACTGAAGAGATAAGCAAGAATTCACTTCACTGAATTTGCTTTGTCGCCTCTTTAAGACCTACATCAGACTTCTTACTGAATATGGAGCTGAGCTATTAATAACTGCATCTGAGACCACCCATTGAAAGCTAAAAACTGTTCAAAACCATGTCCTTGAATAATCATAGTTGGTACTCACTTCACTCTATTTGCAGCTATGCAACTGTAAATTGGTCTGGAACCACTGGTTGAACAAAAGCAACGATCTGCTTTGAAATTATTTGAAAAACTTCTGAGCTGTGGTAATTTATTTTTGCTGACATGCATACATGCTCAGCATAGATTAAAAGAAAAACTTCTAGGTCATAACGAAAGAATTAGCAGTCAAATTTAACATGCCTATCCTTACTAGGAATCTTGTACTTAATCCAACCATCTGTTGACAACATATCAGTGTAGTTAACCGGAGTAGACTAAATCTAATTCTTGCCATAAAGAAGAAATTTTGTCCAGATACTGATCTTAAAATGGCTGGTTTTGCTGCAGTTGTTAAAAAGTACCCTCCCTGAAATTGTCTTGGATGGTTCCACTCTGTAAATGCCTTTAAAACCACACTGAAGCTGGAATACGCTCAACATATTTTAATTGTTGGTAAGGTCTGAAAAATCTCTGATGACAAAATAACTGTTGTTTTTTTAGCTCTTCAGGAAACTGGTAAGAGAATGAAATCAGATGTTATCTTTCCCAGGCTACCATAAAGGTACTTTTTTCTGTGTCCTTTTGTGGTAAAAAAAGTTTTATGACTGCCAATTGTTCTTAACTCTTTTTTGAAAAGTGGATGATGTATTATTTTATAATGGAACTTCAGACATTGTAGCATGTTTAAAAATGGCCTGGCAGTTGGCATGGCCAAAGCTGGTTCTGAGTTGATTCAACCACATTCTTTTGTTTATTTTTATCCTGACAATAGACTCCAGCATCAGTCTGTATTGAAAAAACCTCTCTGAAGAACTCATTGGGGAGAAATCCTGGTATTTCTAATTGAAAATGCTAGTTCCTCATAACTTTGCTAGAGCTGTAACAGGTCTTTACTATTTGCAAAAACATCTCCATTGTATGGATTTGGTAAACTCACCAATGTGCTTGTTATGTGGCCTGCCTGACATGACTGGTGACCACCTCTGCAATTGCTGTGATCATAATGATATTTCCTACAATAATTCTGTTGAAAATTTTAATATTTTATTTGTGTCAAGAACATTATTGGGTTGCCTGAGAGGAACTTAGGGCTGAAAAACGGTTTTATCTGCATTTTATGTTTTGTAACCCATCAAATTATTAATTTACTTATATTAGATTTGTTTCATGATTGATTTAATTTTTATAATATATTTTATTTAATATTGTAATTTCTCATAACGTATTGTTTAATAATATTATTTTTATACCAATTTTTTATTCATCATTCTTAGCATTTTAAATTTTAGTTAAATAAAAAAAAAGTGGTTCCTATTATATGAAATTTAAAACTAATTTGATTTACATATTATTATAATATTTTATGAAAATTTAAAGGAAGTTAGCTGTTTGAGGGCATTGTATCAGATATTAGAAAGGTAGATATTAAGTGCTATGAGATCTTACAGCAGATGTTATATGACAATTTAGTAAAGTATTTTTCTTTTTATAGCTTGCTTTGAATTACCTTCATTATTTGTTTCACAAAGAATACTTAAAAAATAGAGTGAAAGTATTTGTGAAATCCTTAAAATGTTTTTAAATATTTGAATTATATTTTAGTCTTTTTGAAAGTTCTTGATGGTGTAATATAGTACATTGAAATACTTAATTATTATCATTATTATTTATTCTTCAGCAAAAGATTGGTATGAAGACTGCTTAAAAAGTGATGGAATGAGTTGGAATAATTTTGAATCAAAAGTCAAGTATGATATTTTCAGAAAACTATATTTGCATTTTAAAATTTTTATTTCTTTTTCTGGGGGGTTAGCATTTTATTTTACTTTTTTTTGGTAATCTTTACCTATAACTCAAGAATAAATGATTTTTGATTAAAATTAAAAATTTGTTATAGTAAAATATCTCAACTGTGTGGAACTGTTAAGAATTATGTATTAATATGACCATACAACTGGCAGTATTTCTTACTAAATTTCTGTATTTATTTAAAACTAATTTTCTCATTTATTACATTCACTAAAAAGTTGAATGTAACTTAACTCATAGGAGATAATCGCCAGATATTTTTTTTTGTGTCCAAAGGGGCTTTGTTCCTGAAGGAACTATTGTTTTCGTTTTGTGATTTTGCGTTGAATGACTATAAATGTCCATTTCACTTTTCAAACTCTTGCTACAAATGTTAGAGTCCTGCATTATATTTGAAGAAATTAAGTGATGAAAAATCTGCATAAATGTATGTATATTTCTTGCATTGTAATAAAACAACGGTACATAGAGCCATCAAATTTTGAATGATGTAATCCCCCGGCGAATATGGGCATGTGGAAGACCAAATTTGAAATTTGTTTTATTATCGATTTCATATTTTGTGGAACTTTAACGAATTTTTGATTAACAAACTCAAGGATTTCAAATCGAGCAATGGCAACACTCTGCCAGGGGGGGACATTTTTATTTCCAGCGCACGAAACTGTGTATCGGAAATTCTAAAGATATGCTAATTTTAAAATTATTTGGGGACATTGCTATTGAACTGAATTTTACGGTTTAAGTGCAAAGAACATGATATTTAATAAATAAAGGTAACACAAAAAAGGTTAAAAAAAGTCCCTTTGGACGTAATTTAAAATCTGAAACCTTTCAGATTTTTATTGTTGTTATTATTTTTGGTAGCATTGATGTCACACCATGAGCCAGAGAATTAGTTCACAATTATCCACTGCAAAATGTGCAGTGTGATGCATTAATACAGGTGATCAGAGTAATTGACAATATTTACAATTCTCTCCAGAATACCAAAGGATCTAATACAGTTAAAAGTCTTTAATCCGTACTCGTCGGGACTTCGGTGATTCCAGATTATAGATCATCAGTTTAAATCTGGTAAGATAGCATGCAGAAATTATAAAATTAAAAATATGAAACCGTAATTTATGAAATAAAGAGCAATTATGATCTAAAGGGTATCAAAATTTACAAAAAAAAAAAAAAAAAAAAAAAAGCTTAATATTTATTTGTTTACTTTATTAAACATTTCTTTCAACGTGCGCATGTGTAAAGCATACATTATGCATAGTCGAAATTAGAAAACTGCATCCAGAAAACTATTTGATGTGTATTCGTGATATTTATAATGACGAGGAATTTGATTTAAATCATATCAAAGACAGAGTACATCGAGATGAAATACTACATTTAGTAAGAAATTATAACCCGAATAAAATAAAAACATCTGCCCTGAAGATAAGGATAGTGCTGACAGATCAACTTCCAGTTCATTGCATGTGCGTCCCCCCCCCCTCCGCAGATCACCGTGAAATTGATAAACATATTTCGGAATGATTAGAGAATCAAAGGATATGCCTTTATCCATTTTTTACAGCAATTCTACTTTTTTTTTTGATGGACATCGAAACATGCTTTTGCTTTGTAGATCCTTTAGCTCCAGAATCGGAAATTCTTTTTGACATAATCGAAAGTTCAAGTTTACTTTTATAAAATTGCTCTAACAGTCTGAAAAAAATAATTAGCCAGATTAAGGAACAATGCAATCTGCAACATTAACTGAAATAGATAATTAGATAATTTTAGCTTAGCTTATACCGTCGGTTATACATTAAACGCGCATGCGTAAACGTATTACACGCATGCATATGCGCATGCGTAAAGGTAATACGCGCATGCATCAACGCCGGATTATAGATCATTCCGAATTATGGGTGTCCAGATTAAGGACTTTTGACTGTATATGAATAAAATTTAAGTACAATGCTATTAGTATGAAATAAGTAAACTATCAGTTTCTTCGTCCAATCTTCATCCGATTGGAAATGAATCATCTGCACTATGATTTCTTGCCTGGATGGAAGTGGACAATAGATGGCCATGGAGCATTCTGTGGTCTGATGAAGCCCATTTCCATTTGTAAGGTTCTGAAATATGCAAAATTGCAGGATATGGGTGACCAAGAATCTTTTCTGGCTACATCTACTTTTCAGTCTGAAAAGGTCATTGTCAAGGAAAAGCAAGCTTTGTCATTGGTCTGTTCTTCGAGGAGATCAAGCCTGCGGACCCCATTACTGGCAAGCGATATGAAGCACTTTTGCATAACCATGTCCATCCGGCACTTCAGCAGCCTTAGTGTGTGGATCGTGCAATATTTACTTAAGAACATTGCTACTCGTGTGATGCAGCTTCTGATTGCTCATTTTGGAGATGATCGAATCATAAGCTGCCACTTTCCAACAGCATGACCACCACACTCCCCCTGACTTAAACCCATATGATTTTTGGCTTTGGGGATACCTGAGGAATGTCGTTTCCAGCGGGCAAATTGCGAATCTGGCCAACTTGAAGGCAAGCATCACATATCATATTCATAGCATCAGCACAGATACTCTCAGGTCTGTTGTGAAACATGACATTTTGTGCTTCCAACTATTAGCGGAACAACGCCGAGGCCATGTTGAACAATTTACGGTAATCTCATCTGTAAGGTGTTTGCTTTATGAAGCTCCTCTTTTTTTTTTTTGTCACTATCACTGTTTTTGCCATAATCATCTATTCTTGTTTTTTTGCTCATACATTTGTAGTAAACCCTTGGAGTCTATCATTTCCTTTCGGCTAACAACATATATGTGTTTAAAGAATCCCTTTAGGTCTTTCCCTTGACATTACCCTGACAGTGCCATTTATCAGTACATTTTGGAATTATTTTGTTTTTTTGACAAACAAAATTCCATTGCTTCACAATTGTTCTGGTAGTTCTGATTGGTAGTTTTAAAGTTAGAGTGTTTTGAAATCATAACTTTATAATCATAAACATATATAATATATATATATGTGTGTGTGTATAATATACATATTTTATACAATTTATTTGTGCATTTCCGATGGCCTTTTGAAATTATTTCGAATTATGTTAAAATTATTCTAAACTACTGACAATATTTCCAAAGTGACAGGTACATCTCGAGGAAAACTGCAAAGCAATTAAAAAATAAAAAGTGTCATAAAAATAATGCAATTTCATCGCCCAGGTAACATCACTAAATCTATATTTGCAGAGACATTGGGTCTGTAAAAATTATTTAAAAGGCTTCTTCAATTGATTTGGATTTTCTTGAAGCATTTCACATTCACAAAGATTTATCTTATTTAATTAATAACTTTAATTCAAATCCAATTCTTTCTAATGCTTCTAAAATTCTATTAACTTTTTCAGTTTTCATTACTATTTATATGGATACATGGTGCTACCTTCTTGTTTATTTTACTCTTTTGCTTTTTTTATAAATACAGTTCCCTCCTTTGTAGAATTTCTTTTATACTGATGATGAAGGATTTGAACCTGTTGCTGTCAAAATCGGTAAAGTGTTGGTTAAAATATTCACTCTAAAGAAGGTAGTTGCTTTGCCTAATTTTGTATTTGCTAGCTAGCTATTTGTTCTTATTATATATAAAGAAATCTCTAGGCTTGTTGTAGCTCAGATGTTTAAAATAACCTGCAACGTTTTTTTCATCAACATCTTTTACAAAAATAAAATAAAATAAAAAATAACATTATCAGAATACTGTGAAATCCTGAATGTTTTCTTTTTGTATGTGTAATGCACAATACCTCATGCAGCCATTTGTTAATATTATTTTCAGAACTTGTGCCTAACTAAACATCACTTGTGTGCAAAATTAAGAGAATTTAAATAAGAGAAGTGGCTCGCTATGCCACCGCATGCGCATGCAATCATGAATACAATGTTACATATCCTATGAAGCAACATAAAGCAGCCAGCCTGTTGTTTGACTCTAAGTCAAACTACTAATATTCAGGTATCGTATCTACTCTGTTACTGGTGAGATGAAGAAACACAAAATGTTAAATTGTAATGTGAAATTGAATTAAGAAGACAATTTTATTTACATTGAGTTGTGTGTTTGAACGCACAGCTCAATGTCAGTAGTTTAGAATAATTTACATAGGAGTTGCTTTAAGTATTTCCAGCTTATTCTTAAGTACAATCTACAAAGTGAAATTCTAAATATAATTCTGTTTTGAATTTTCTTGACACTATATAAGTATTACTTGTGGTGAGAGAAGTTTTCCTGGATATAAATCACTTAAGAAGCACGTTAAGACCAAATTGAACACCTTGCTGTCTGGAGAAGATAGAATGTTATTTATGATTCAGCTAAAGATAAACAAGCAAAATAGTACTTTAACCCTTTGACGTTTAAGGAAATGAGCAGTTTTCATTTACTTAATTCACACAGTATTATGAGTAAATAGTAGTCGAAAGTGGCAGCTGTTTTTCCCCGCCGTTCTTCCGAAAATGTCATCCTTCTCCGGCGATGCCGTAGATAGCTCGCCTCACGCGTTTTAAGAATTTCTTAAAGTTTTTGTAGTACATAAATAACAGTTTTTCGTACTTTAAAATAATTAATAAATAATAATTATTAAATAGTAAATTAATTAAATGTTTAGTAATAACTTAAATAGTAAATTAATGTAAAAATTTCTTAAAGTATTTGTAGTACACAAACAACAGTTTTTACGTACTTTAAAATAATTAATAAATAATAATTATTAAATAGTAAATTATAAATGATTATAATCAATTATATAAATAATAATAGCTAATTATAAATATGAGACAAATATTAAATTTAAAGGACTAAATAAATACAACTAATGTAAAACTTTCGGAAGCATTTAAATACAGTAATTACCTAAAAATCTTTTTGTGTGTGATATACTTTAAAACTAAATCATAAACTAAACTAACCAGTAAAAGTAAATTGGCTAGGAACGTGAGAACTTGAATCAATTTTACACCACTGTCAAACATTCGAAAAATCTTCCTCATCGTTTGAATCGTCTTCTGAGCTTGATATACTGTGAACAAAGTCTTCAGTGCACTCAAAACTTGATAAGCTTTCTGTATCACAATCATAATCACCATCATAATTATCTAACTTTTGATTTTGAACCATTTTACTTTACAAACACCCTAAAAAACGTGCCAAAATATGCATAAAAAGAACAAGGTAAAAAAAGTTCCCCCTTCATTATGAAAAGAAATTCATGGAACCCATACTGCCATCTGTAGACAGTAAAACTACTTAAATTTTGTGAGTAGGATTCCTTTGTAACATAATCAATGCAAAATAATATTGGCGAATGAGCTCAGTTCGTCAGCGCTCATTTGGGGAAAATTTCACTACGCGAGTAGTGCTCGTTTCGAGAGTTCGTAATGCTCGAAATCTGACTCCCGAGTGGAACTCGTTTGCGTGCATTATGAAGCACGATTCAATTGCGAGCTGAACTCATTCATAACCATCAAAGGGTTAATATTTTGGAATTAAAGTTTTATTTAAAAAAATAACATATAACTTTTATTTATATCCTGATATGTTGTTTTAATATTTTATAGATTTTATTTTCTGGTATGCATTGAGAGTGTCAGGAAAAGGCTTGGCTATGCCACTGCTCTAGTTGAGACTCGGTGTTGTAGTTCTCATACTGAAATATTGGTTGGGTCTGCTTCCATGCTATAGTCTAGCATAATCAAGTTTCGGTCATGCTGCAGATAACATTAAATTCTGAGCTAAACTCAGAAATTAAAAGTGTCATGTCATGTGTTATCTATAAAGACATAAAAAAAAGTTATTAAAAGTGTCATGTCATATGTTATCTATACAGACATAAAATTACTAAATCTTAATGTCATCTATTGACAAACTATTATATAGTTTCATGTTACTTTAATATGTAAGGTTAGTAATTTCATTAAGTTTATTTGGTACCTTGCGTTTTGCTTTCGTGGCTCAGTGTCTGGTCGTGAGCCTACATTTGATAAATGGCAACACATTCTATTGTTTGTTTGCTCCCCCTGTTGTCTGTGACTTGCAAGGTGAGCAGGACAAGTCAGGTATGTGCCTCAAAAGAGGTGCCGTATTAGCTATGAGAAATTGAAAATTAATTTTTGAAGTTTTAAGTTATGATTTTTAGTTTTAAATTTTGAAACATAACTTTAAAATATGCAGTTGAAATTAACAATTGTTGTTAGCATTATTTGTGATAATTTAAAATTCAGCATTGTCAGTATTATTTTTGATAATTTTATTCTTGATATTACTTTCATTCTTGTTGCTATATGGCTAACTGTCTCATTTACATGTCTTGCGTCAAGTTGGCACCTTTCAGTTTAAGTTTGACAGAGCATATTGTCAGTGTAATAAGTAACAGAATTATTTTAACTGATTTGTGTTTCCTTCCTTCATTGAACTCTCTTTAATATACATAATTTAATAATGCATGGATTTCATTAATTCCCCCCAAAAAAGTTTTTATTGTTATTATCATAGATAATTCATCTGAATTAAAAGAAGGATCAGTGGCATTAATTTATTCTTAAAAGTTCTGCTGTTTACTGTGTATATTGTTTCTTACATGAAACTTTATTGTAGGAACTAAGGTATTGATGTTGATTTGTATTTATGATAATAAATTACAGAGTCTGAATTTGCCCACAAAATGCTATCCCTCTAACATCAGTGATTTGGTACTGTGTCCCATTAATCTGAATTGCAGCTCTTTGTTAATTTCTGAATTAATCAGGTAAAATTTGTTACCTGTCTTCTTCCAAGGTTGCCAGCAAATAATTTAGCGTTTTATCTTGTTTCTAAAACTACATAAGAGATAGCATACTTAAATGATGAGTCTAGTTAAAATTTAAATGGATTATATTTACAATTCATTTAAATCATACAATGCATGATTTACATATTATTTTACAGGACTTTTAGTGTCGTTGTAGATAAAAAATTCAGTGCACTTTCCGAACATATCTTTACTATCTCAAATTAAAAATAGAATAAAGTAAAATAAAAGAGAAGTAACACAAAGGTGTATTTTATTTTCTGTGGATCAAATGCAGATTCTAAAATCCTAAATGTGGATGATTTTAAGGATTAGTAAATTTTTTGTTAAAGTTTTCAGAAATTCTTTAAAAAAATGTGAATATTATTAAAAAATGTTTCGACTGAAGATATCCACACTGTTTCTTATATTCGATACCTTTTATACCTTCAGAGGTTCATTATAGTAGTATAAAATAACATTAAATGTATAGGAAATTGGACAGGAGAAAAAAGTTCATTAATTATATCTGGGGTTAGACTCTAATAGTATGTTTCATAATGATTTGGACACTACTTTTCCTGTGTAACAAACAGCTGAACATTGTGGCAAAGTTTGTTTCAGATGGTGATATGAGTTCAACATTCTATCATAAAACAGTTTGCGTAGTTCCTATACAAGAGTACTAGTGATTCATAACATGAAGAATGGTGCAAAAGACTGTGAACAAGTGTACACATATTTCAATGAGGAGCAATGCACATGGTCAAAAGTAGACTGTGTTGTGTTCTTTTGGAAAGAGGGACAGTCAGCATCACAGATTTGCCAGCAAGTATTTGCTAGATGTGATGAATAAGTTGCTGCATGAAGCTTTTTATTTAATTGTATTATTAGGAACTTGAACACAAGAAATGAAAATGTAGGAAAAGGAATAAGTAGCGGTTAATCGGTAGTGAGGCATACAGAGTAAAGCAGATGCCCAGTTTGACATTAACAATTCATAGCATTACCTTTGCTGAGGTACAACATGAGAATGGTATTAGCAGAGGAACTGTACTCATGCCTAAAGATTTGAAAATGCATAAAAATTGTGCTCAGTGGATGTGATCAGAGACTCACTAACATACAGAAGTAACAGTGTGTGACACTATGCTAGGAATTGTTTCACATTTTACTAAGAACTTTTTTAGCTGAGGATTATGAACTATGCACTTTTTAATGAGCTGAAAAAGATGTGTGTGTGTGGTTGAATATTTACCAGCAAGGAAGAATTTCAAGAGGCTGTCCCTGCATAGATACACAGGATTCCTGAAGAATAGTGTACTGCAGCCATCTGAAAACTTCTTGGGAAATAGTTTCTTCTTGTAGATTGTGCAAAAGTTTCAAATATTTAGTTTTGTGATTTCAGGATACTTAATTTCAAACTCTAATTCTAACAGTATATGTTGATTTTTTTGTTTAAAAAAAAAGCATTAATATACAGGGTGATTCAGAATTCTCTCCAGGGTTTTGAAAATATATAGTTCAAAAACCATAGTCAGTACAGCAAAAAATGCATTGCAGTATATGAATAATCTTTCAGAGTTTAAAGTACTTAAAATTTAAGCTATTCATATGTGGTACAAGTTTAAGAGACTTGGTTGCCAATGTCATACAAAATGAACAGGTAGACTAAGATTGCCAAGTCTGCTGCAGTATCAAGCCCAAACATACTGAATACATGTTGGTTATATGTGAAACTTGGAGAGGCTCTTAAAGTACTGGTGTGCACCATTTTGCTGTATGTATAATAAATACATAAATTTTCAAAATTGTGGGAGGCAGGAATTATATTTCTGAACCTGTTTCAATGATGTATTTATTACTTGTGAAGTTCCAAATTTTGGGGTCTCATGTACTTCAAGATTTTTTTGAAAGCATATTGAAACTGTTAATTATGCATTTGATTTTTGTCACTGCTACTTTAGGTTCTAGAACTTATAAGTGCTGGTGTTACACACAGTTTTTATATGTGAAACTTTGAATCTATGGTCAATATCATTCAGATTATATTTACTATTCATACTTCACTGCTGTATTGCTCAGATATGGAGAGTAGAGTATGTCAAGTTCCCATCATATCTGCCCTATTGTTTTATCTAGTAATTCTTATTCTATTATTCTCTAATAAATGTATGTTCTGTTATTTTCATAGCCTTCAAGTCATAACATATATTTTTAGGTCATTAAAAAATTAGAGTGCAAAATATTTTCCAAAAAATAATCAGTATAAAAGGTAGAGAGATCTCATATCTACAAAAAAGTTACTGTAAATGATTAAATTTAAGTAATGATTGTCTTAACCAGTGGTGAGCTTTATGGACTTACATTATCCCTTTGTGGAATTTGTCTCCTTGTGAGCTCGTTTTCATTTTGTTTGCTTATTTATTAATTCCAAGACATCTGCATGTGTTACATTCCATAAAGTTGCTTTGACTTTAAGCTCTCTGTTCCTGAGAATTAAGATCTTGTCTGGTTTCTTTTAAATTTGGCTAATGCATTGTAGATAACCTAATATTTAAGCAATTGTCAGGAAATGCCATTTGTTTTCAATAAATTTATTGTTGGCTACAAAATTGTTTTACCAAATATAGATCTTTAATGGTAATTTCCATAAATGAAAAATCTTTAAAAGAATTTACTCCTAAACTTATGTAAAAACTTTTCAAAAAAGTCATTGCTCAACCTTAAAATTTCATAGATCATTTGATATGAAAGAAAAAAAGATAATGTGTTGTAGCTTTTGCCAAAAATTATGCCTCACAATTAAATTTTCTCATTGTTTTATGAAATTTCTGTGATATTTTGTGATTAATTAATTTTCTTTAATTTAAAAATTTTTCCTTTTCCATGTACAATTATTTGTATTTTTTGTTTTTGTTAAAAATAAAACATCTAAAATTTGATATTTTGTTTTTATTAGTAAAGTGTGAATGCTTTGTAAAAATTTTTGTAGGTTCATTTCATAATGCATATTTAACAAAATCATTGCATCTGTTTGCTTTCTAGAACTTATTCTCTGAGTGGGGCATATCGAAAAGTTATAATAACCCCAACTGATGTCAAATGGGAATTGTTACCATATGATGATGTCAGTAAACCTTTGGCTCTTAGTGATTTGGATGTTTTACAAGGAGTGACACTATGTGATCCTCCAATAAGTAAGTATAAAAATATTGGCTGTCATATTTCACATCATTTTTATAATAATATATGTAGTTTACTTAATAGGTTTTTAAATGATTTCTTATGATGCTAGTTTTTGATTCATAACTGATTTAGATAATTTACAAGTGCAATAAGATAGAGTATTATGACAAGATAGAGTATCCTGTTTTAAAATAAAATATGATGAAAAATTTTTAAAAGCACATTACTTTATTTTTTAAGAAATAGTTTTGTCATTACTAAATGAACACTTAAATTATTTTGTAATTTTTTTCACAGATGGCTCCTTGAAAGCTCTAAAACTAGAATTGAAACTTCCATCCTCATCTTATGCTACCATGGCTGTCAGAGAAGTTTTAAAATGTGACTGCTATTTAAGTAAAAAGAAGAGTAATGAATAAATTTTTTTTTAACTTAAATTATTGTCGATTTTTCTTTTTGTTCTAAATGGCACAATTTTTTTTTTTTTTTTAAAATCTGAAGTACGTAGTATTAATTTGAAGTACTGACATTTAAATCTGATCTGTTTAAATCTGAAGTACGTACATCATTTCAGAATCCTGTTTTTAGATACTATCACTGATATACAAGATGTTGTGAAATACCTTTAAAATTTTATGTTTTCATATTGCTTCTTCAAAACAAAAATTATTCAGTATATGCCGCTCTGTGTTAATTTGATGCCCTTCAAATTAATACAAATACTCTTCGTAAGAAGGCCAAACACTTTGTACACAAACTTCGTAACAAGTAAAAAATGTCAATTTTGTTAAAATGATGTCTAAAATTTTCATATGGACCCCAGTCTTTTTCATTTGTCCAAATGAAAAGTGTGACTTCTCTACAGCAAAAATCGAATGAGGTATTTAATTATAAAATTTCAAGTCATATTTGGAAGCTGTATATAAATTGAAGAGTGGAATGTTTGTATATTTATATATATATAGGTGTTTCTTGGAGGTGTTTTGTATTATTACAGATTCTTTTAATTCTAAGAAGTTGTGCGTTAATTGTATTGCCTATGACCCTTTTAGAAATATTGGAATTCCAGTTAGTTACTTTAAATGTTGGAAAGTTGAAATCTCTGCGTTTATCGTAGATTTTCAAAAAATTGTAATCTAAAATATGCAAATCAAGGTAAACTATATCATTTTGAACAGTATTAGTAGTATTAAGTTCGTGGCAAGAAGAGTAGATATTAGCTTTTTCAATTTTGTTGTAGTTGTTGAAGGCAATTAAATCATCAATATAACGAAAGATGTGTTGGTAATATTTTTTATCTTCAATTTTTAGTGAACGTACAGAAGTTAATTCTTGTGAAAAGGAATAATTCACAGATTTCTGTTGAAAAGTTGCCGCCCATAGGTATTCCCTGTAGTTGTTTAAAGATGTTGTTATTAAATTGAATATAATTGTTAAAAAGAACGCTTGAAAGAAAAAGTTGCCAATCTTCAGTAGATAATATTGTAGTAATCTTGGGAAATAAATTAGGAAGAGTAAGCAAGCTGCTATGAATTTCTTCAAGTGGTAAAGTAGTATAAAGGTTCTCAAAGTCATATCATTGGATATGTTCTATTTTAAGTGAATTTAAGGTCTTAAGAATTTGTTCGTTGCTTGATATCATCCAGCTGCAATGCTGACCTTTAAAATCATAATTATTGATAACGTCTTGAATGAGATAAAGTTTTTGCACAAAGAGATAATCCATTTCCTTTAAATAACCTATGGTACTGTTAGCTATGTATCTGAAATTAACAGGAGTCTTATGAAACTTTGGAAGTGCATAGAGATTAGCAAACCTGTTCTTAAATTTGTATATCCACTCTGTTACCCTGCTCAGTGAGCTCAGTTTCTTTATTCGTATATGTTTGTAAATTGTGCAGTTTTTGCTTTAAAAATGATTGAATTACGTTGTTCTTATCTTCCTGTTAAGGTTTTTATGCCTTTAGTTAACCTGCATATTATAGTTGTAGAATTATCAATAATTTAAGAGTTGTTTAAGTGCGGCTTAGCCTTTTTTTTTTTTTTTACCATTTTTTTAACCATATTTGAAACTTAGCAGAATAGTAGATTTGTTGCCAATCTAGAGAAACTAAGCTTCGCAACAGCAATGTAATGTCTTCTTGTATTATTGCGAATTAAATTATGCTTAATCCATTCTAGAATTATCATTTAATTTATTAAATTATCCCATATATAATGACTCAGCATAGCGTCCACAACAAATTAAATCAGTTTCTACACCTTCACTGTCTTTTTGCCGAGTGAGACCAAAAGTAAACGTTCAGTTTTTTGCACCAAAAAATCTGTCTTCTTGCCCGCTGACCGAATTGCTTGTTTTTGTTTGGGAATTGTAATTTTAATTGTAAAAATTGTTCTTTAATTTGTTTTAACTGTATTTGGTGTTTTATGTTTTTCTATATCTTTAATTTTTTAATAAAGATATATTGTGTTTTTATTAATTTTGCCTTGCCGCGAAGTGAGAACTGAATGCATTGAATCAGAAATACATCTCTAATGTAATTCGAGTAAGTAAGTGTTTCATATTAGCAGAAAATACTGTTGCCAGTTTGTTTCGGACAAAGGAGAATATTTACGAGTAGTGTATGCGTATTAGGTAAGCAGCGCTGAATAGTATGTGAAAGCTGTTTCTTCATCACATCCCATCAACATTTATCTTCTTAGTCACCTCGACATACTCAAATTATGGTACCGACAGCAAAGCAAGTTCAAAATACAAGACTATACCATGCATGTGTAACCAAACATAGCAACTGAAAAGAATGGTAAGAACCAAAAACCCGGGTCCATACGAAAGGTTACTGTTACAAAAAATAACCAAAATCTAAATTTATTACAACATTGGCGATATTTGCAGAAATAACCCTTTTTTAATAACAAAAACTATTAAAAAAATTCCTCCAAAGCTAGTTTCGGCAACATTATAAACACCGAAAAATCTATTCCACACAGCGGGTTTCCAGATTTTACGAACAACCGATACCACTTGGCGATTTTTTTCAGACAAAAACCAAGGGGTACTGTACAGTGAAGATTAGCTAATTTAATATTCCATACAAGGAAGTCATTCCACACATCAGGATTTTTTTAGTAGTATCATAAAATTTTGCGTTAATGGGAATATAATTTAATGACATTTATGAAGGATTCTTTCTCATCAGAACAGCAGCTGTAAGAAGGAAAATGAAATATACAAAAATTTCTTACCATGTCATTTAATACTTAGCTGGGCAACCTTAAGCATTATTCATAAACTCATAACGACTTCCCAGAGTGAACCACGTTTATTTAAGTCTGTTGCTGTCATAATGCAAAACCAAGATTGAATTATTTTGTTAACTGGATTTTTTTTTCTGCTGAAATTCTTTTAGTTGGCTTTATAGACTTTCAATGATGGGATGAAGGCCTGGAATTTTTCTATACCATTCAACAATGGGTTATGGTTATTTTGAAACAAATTTTTGCATATAATAGTTATATCACTTGCCAATGCCAATGATTAAGTATTTCGGAGTGCCTATGGTTCTAAACTATGTATCTTTACATCATAAAAATACCCAAGTAGTGAGCAGAAAAGGAAAATTGCATAAGTAGTTAGTTTGATGTAAGCTAGAGGGAGCCACATTAGCTCGAGAGAGTTTAGGTATAGGAAAAAAATCATTAAGTCAAAAGTTTTGATTTTTTTGTATAACTTTTTTTTTTTTTTTTTTTTTGGTTTTTATAATTTTTTGTATTTGTAATATTACTTGAGGCTAAATCCTCAATTGATTAAGTGATTAATCCTCAAATAAATTAAATATAGATGCTTCATATCTTCAAAAAAATCATCTGCAAAAGCTCAAGATTTTTCATTTTATGTATTTTTGGGCGTTTCCATATACGTATTTTATATTTTTTGTGGCATTTATATTATTTATATTTTTGGATACCTTTTAATGTCATGCAGTTAGACTACACCTTTGGCATAAACATGGCTTCCTGCTTTGCAGAATTTCTTTTTCCCTAATGATGAGCAACCTGCACCTGTTCACCTTCGAAATCGATAGTGTTTTGATTAAAAATATATACCAAACAGAAGTGTGTTGCTTTTCCTAATTTATGTTTTACTTTGTCGTGTTTCTCTTCTCTCTTTATGAACCTTTTTTTAAACCTTTTCAATTCTGATTTTATAATGACTGATTCTCCTTATACCTCTTCAAAAATTATGAAATGCCACCTATAGTAAAGTTTCTACAAATTTCCTTTCGAGTTTCTTTAGAACTATGAATGGCCTTGTTCACATTTACAATTTATTAGGTGACCAGTCAACTCTTTGCGCCATTTTTCTAATTTTATTATGTTTTAAAGCTCACTAAATTAAAAACACAAAATTCCAACCAACTTGATAGCAGTTTTTTAAAGTACTGACAAATGTCTTTCTTTGAGAAACAGCGTCATTAGTTGAATCTTATTGTGACCTGATTGTCTCATTGTCGAAACAACTAGGAAAGTTGCTCTTTTTTTTGGTTATTTGGCTGTAACTTACGACGGAATATAGATAACTGAATGCACTTGGATGCATTATATTCTTAATTAAATTATCTTTCCACCAAAAGTGATATCATTGTATCACTCCGAAACAGAGCAGTTATGAGTCATCAAACATAAAAAAAATACACTATTTCCAAAGGATTTTCACAATTCTGGCTTGCGTATGGTTAAAATATTTTTCTAAAAATTCCAAATCTTGATTCCCAAACTTTACAGACTTAATCAAAAATGTATTATCTTACACCAGCAATACAGAAGATCATCCAGTTATGTTATCAAAAAAGTTTATCTCTAGTTTCTTCAAAGTGCAGGAGTTCTTTGTAGAAAAATATTGTTGAATCTCATGAAAAAATCTCAATGGCTTCAGCTTTTCATTTACTTAATAGCTAAATTTTGACATTCTATTTCAGTAGTTAATCTTTCTCCAAGGAAATTATCTCTGTCCTTGGAAATCATATTTTGTAAATATGGCACAGTTGTACCAAATGCAGAAACAAAATACAAAATCTGGAATAAATTGAAAAATACAAAATCTTTACCTTTAAATGGTAATAAAAGTTATCAAAAAAGCGGCTGCACTGTTGGTATGGTGATAGGGAAGCCAGCTATCATAACCTAGGGCCCATGTTAGAATTCCAAAGATGGTAGGGATGTTCGTAAGTGCATAATGTTTTTGGAATATGAGGACATTAAAACACTGTCCGAATAAATTCCTCTCCAGAGGCTGGTGGAAAGAGAAGGGGGCTTAGGAGAGCCTTGGAGAGACTCCCAGAGGAATTCTCCAAAATTGGAATTGACCTGGGGACCCAAGGGTTAATCCAACAACAGCCAGAACCTTTGACAATGATGAAGTTCGTAGACTTTTTCT